AACACTTCTGATTGACACTTCTGAGCGACACTTCTGAGCACCACTTTTGATCGACACTTCTGAGCGACACTTTTGAGCGACACTTCTTGGGCAACAGTTCTGATCGACACTTTTGATCTGCACTTCTGATCGACACTTCTGACCGACAGTTTTGAGCAACACTTCTGAACCACACTTCTGATTCACACTTCTGAGCAACACGTCTGATCCACACTTCTGATCGACAGTTCTGAACAGCACTTCTGATCAACACTTCTGACAAAACTTCTGAGAGCACTTTTGAGCAACACTTCTGATCGACACTTCTGGTAGACTCTTCTGAGCAACACTTCTGAGCACATGATCGACACTTCTGATCGATACTTCTGAGCGACACTTCTGATTGGAAACTCTGAGCAACACTTCTGAGCCACTTCTGATCGATACTTCTGAGGGACACTTCCGCGCAACACTTCTGACCGACACTTCTGAGCAACACTTCTGAGCAACTCTTCTGATCCACACTTCTGTGACCGACACTTCTGAACAACACTTCTGGTCGATACTTCTGAAGGACATTTCTGCGCAACACTTCTGGTCGACACTTCTGATCGACACTTCTGAGCGACACTTCTGGTCGACATCGCTCAACACGCCTCTTGTCTCAAAATGTGCGCAGCGCCACAGTGAGAGGTTGATTCGACCCACCCAAAGTGCTCAGAGGGTTCACTTTGCATTTTCAAATGGTGCGCCGCGCCACAGCGAGAGCGATTCGACCCACCCAAAGTGCGCAGAGGGTTCGCTTTGCATTTTCAAAAAGGCACAGCGCCACAGCGAGAGCGATTCGACCCACCCAAAGTGCGCAGAAGGTTCCCCCCGTGAAAGCATTCTAGACCTGGAACTGGAACACTCATCCGGGGGGGGGGGGGCGGCGGGGGCAACCCCTGATTAATCAAAAGCGGCAATTATGTGGGGGAGCCACAAAACAAAAATAAAACATGGCCGGTGTGAACTTGCAGCAAGAGCGCTGATGCAAACGTGCGCGCCGTTGAGACCTGTGAGTGTCACCTCTGTCTCCATGGAAGGGCCGCCGGAAAACGCGTCGCTCGCAGTCCACCTTTGGTAGTCATCCGACTTCAGATGCGTTGTGGTACTTCTTGTCTTTGTCACCAGTGAGACTGCCAAAGGCGAGTTTAAGATGGGAGTGTCTTTTTTAGGGGACACCCCCAAAAATGTGTCAGTCCTTGTTTTTTGCGGTTTTCTGTGTTGCTCTCAAAGCTGGGCACTGAATCAGCGCCGGCTTTGCGGCAACGAGCCATAAGAAATGGGTCGGCGACGCGCGGGGATGCGGCCGAACAAGCTCCCCCAATGGGTTTCCAGCACGCTTGGGACGATTGGGTGGATCAAGAGACGCACCCTCTTTTCAATCATTGCTAAAGTGCGGCAATAATGTGCCAAAATTCCAACGAGTGGTGGTTTTTCTTTTGGCGTCCCTTCGAACCAACCCCCAAAAAGGGCGAGCCTCAAAGGAAACTGCGAAGAGAGAGAAGCCGAGGCTCCAGTCGCAATGGACAAATTCAAAGTTCCCCTTCATTTCTCCGTGAAAATCACCCCGCCTAGAGAAAACTCACCGAAAGTTGTCCTAAAAAGGTGATACAGAAACCCTGTCCCCGTACCTGGACAAAAACTTTTGTTTAATTATTGTGCTCATTTTGAGAGCGAACCCATGGGACACAAACCAAAATCATATCAACCCATGGCTTTCCCGGTTTCCCATCCACTGGTCCCCGGCGCAAAAAGGCACTTGCCGTGTCTCTGAAGCCGTGGCTTCCAAATGTCCAGCGCCAGAGTGAAGGGCTGAAGGTCCCGGCAAAGCCAAGAGACCTGATGACTCCGGATCAAATGGGATCCGGATGCATTATACACCTGCACATTGCCTTGTAAATGCTGGTGTCCCTTTATTTTGGTGGGCAAAATGTATCTGTTAAGGAGCCCTGATAAGCCCGTGTTTATGAATTAATTTGGGGGTGTCCCTGGTTTTAGTGGGGAGTACACCACTTTTGGAGGGGAACACCTGCTAACTTTTTTTGAAGCGGTCCCTTGACATGGGCGAAGCATTTTGAGGGTGGATGATGGAATCCCCCCAAACGGGCTCAACGTCAACTTCGGATGTCATGGGGAGGATGATGCTACCGCTGACCCCGGATTAATCAACCAACCTGTTTCTTCATATGCTTCAGGGCCCCTCCAACAGTGGTCTCAACCTCCACTAAAACCATGGTTTTAGTGGGGCACCGGAATCATCTGCGACATTTCTCGTGTGAAGCATTTCGAGGGGTCGAGCCTTCGAGCACCAGGTTTGAGGGGACCTTCAGACGTTTTCTGGTTAAAAAGCCACATGGATTTTGGGAAGAGGAAACCCTCCGATGTTGAGCGGAGCCCGCGTGATTTCCCAAAGGAAGACACAAAGGGTGGCCACCTGCGGTATGCAATGCCTAAGCCTAGGCCAAACCTAAGTTGGCTTCCACTCCTCCACCAATCCCCAGTGGGATTTGTTCGAGCCTCTAAGTTGCTAAATGAGGATAACGGCTTGGGGTAGTGGAAAGCATATTGGACAACAGGGACATGGACAAAAACCAGATCAAATGCTCCGAACGAGGCCGGCCAGCTCGTACTCCCAAAGCACACCAACCCCTTTCATACACCTCCATTTAAGCTGCCTGGAAGAAATAAAACTATTTCTAGTGATGGTTTCCCCTTGAAACCAACAAGGGAAACATCGCAACATATTCTTTTCAGCAAAAGTACACAATCTACGGGTATGTAGGGCCAGAAGGTTGAGCCTTGGCACCGCCAGGTGAAGGACCTCCTGACGTTACCTCGTTTTGCCAGCGAGTGATTTGTTGAGGCCCGGTGCCGAGTTTTGAGACATCCAAAGGAAATGGTTTGGGCCGCGATCTCAGTCCTCCAAACCGAAGCCAAGGGCTGCTCCAACCAGCCCATCGCCATGAAAGTTTGGCCGAACCGGTTTGCTAAGTCAGGGAACAAGGGAAACCAGGGAACTGCAGGAAACACAAAAGGGACCCACGTCAGAAGCTCAAGGAAACCAAAGAACATCCAAACAGAAAACAACAAAAACCACCGAAGGAGGCCGAGGGGCTCGTGTCACGCAGTAGGTATCACAGAAACGAAGTCCATCTTTCGCCCATGGAAGCAAGGGGTTGTCCGCGTTCGGATCATCCGGCGGGGCGGGCGATGGAGCCATTCGAATTCGACTTGCACAGGGGCCTGCTGTGACAGCACTAGCGCTACAGTTGACTCCAGAAGTATTGCAGGCAAGCTCAACACAACTCATGGTGATCAAACTAATGTAAGTTGACTAAAGCCTAGCACAAACACATCATATAGTAAAACCGCTTACTTTGTTGCCTTCTTGCAATATTCAGTGAGTCAACCGTAGCCCGTGCAAAGCCGCTGTGTCTTGCACTTTGCAATCTCAAGTGTCAGTGGTATTTTTGACATCTGGACGCCTGGGATCAAGCCCTTGTAAACGTCAGGAATCGGTTTCGAGCCAAGCTGCAACAATCGGTGAGCTCAAGCTGATCCGTGAAAATGCAATAGGAAGCCAGGATCCTCCGCTTTGATTCCAGGAGGTATAGTTGTAATGAGTCAGCATTCGTTGTTCGTGCATGCCCGGGCACACACCGAATAACATAAGTTCGGATCACGCCATACCATACACCAACAGGTAGCTTCCCTCAGCCTCTCAAATATCTTTGCCCACCCCCTCCCCCCCAGCCTCAACAGACAAAAACAAAAAGACAAATGAAGCCATCACATCTGCAATTTATGCAATACCTTCCAAAATCTGACTGAGGGGATTCCCAAGTAAATTGCCTACACCATAGTTAGATTGTTCTACCCGAAGGTGAGCTGTCCATAAGAAAGGCAGATCACATACGACAATGAAAGAATTGACGCATGCAAATCCATGGGCACCCGTCTATCGTCGCGGGCGCAGTGGCCAAATTTGCTCTCACAAAGGAAAGCCTAATGGACGCTGGACCCCCTCCAAAAGGGCTCTGCACTAGCAGGTTTTTGCAAAAACGAAGGGGTCTAAAAGCCGAACCCTGGTTTTGACTTACTGGCTTTGAACATCTTGAAACAAGATTAAACAAGTGGCAACGGCCCAATCCAACTTATGCTTCCCCTGTTGTGATGCATAAATTGTCTGGTCCCCTCCCGCTTGAGTTTGCAAGAAAGAACAGAGACTCCGCTTCAAAAGGAGCCCTATATACACTCTTGCACATTTAACCGTCTCCTGCGTCGGAGAACAGCGCATGCACAGGCGGTTGCAAAATGATAGCTGTTTGCTAATGGCGATTTGTGATGCTCCGTAACGGCCGGCGTTGGCAGTCAGCCTCCCATAGAAAACACCAGGTAACCACCACTCCACCTGTAAACCCCGCCTAAGTAAAACTAAGGGCCTCGTGCCCTTCGAGGTTTGGTAGCCCATCTGGACCAGCTGCGGCGCTTTTGGAACCGCTTCCTCACTCGGAAATACGAGGGTTACGCACTGTTGACGCCTTGTAAACCCTGCACCGATTCTCATTTACCAGGTCTTACGACCCTGGGGCTGTGAACACTTGGAATGCATGAACACATATGCGAAGCCCTGGAATGAAGCCCAATTGCTATTCATGCTTGTTGGAAAAGAAGAAAGCCCGGCAGCCCTTCAAGCGGTCTCAAGAGTGTCCTCTCCAGAAGTAAGTGCCATTAAGAATACGCTCAATATTACCCTCCTCAAGATTCCCACGATTAGTTACCCTCAAGAACCCCCTTGAGAACACCTCACAGTGCAACATCTTCAATCCGCGAATTCTACAATATGTCCAAAACCTGAAATAAGAATTGCATCTCCAAGTATTCAGGATCTTTACCATGGCTATCGCTCGTTGTGCCTCCAGATCGGTTAGCAAGAATATGCAGCAAGGAGCTCAGGGACTCTCTGGGCTCCTTGCTGGGACACAACGAGGCTAAGCGGCGGGTTGAACCCATCCCCGGGCTCGTCGGAGCCCGACGAAAGAGCAGCGGAGGTATCGGCCTGCCGTCATGCTGGAGACTATGCAGGGAATCCGCACTGGAGGCCAGCACTTGTGGACCAAGGGACAGGTGTTCTATGGTTTTAGAGGGAACCATGAGGAAAACCAGTTGTGTTTTTTGCGGGGGTCCCTTAAGAAAAGACACACCCATGTGTGCCTTCAGAGTAATTACCCATATGAAACTTCAATCCTGATCACCTACAGCACGATCCACGAAGGGGTCCCTTTCAAATCGAGGTGCTGTTGGGCTCAAATGTTACTTGTTTTCTCTTAAAATACAGGACCCTCTAAGTTGTTTATACTCCTTTCCTTCCCCCCAGAATCACCAACCCACCAAGGGGCACCGCTGCATTCAACATCATTCAACATGAAGGCGATGGCACCACTGCCCGGTCAGCTAAATGAAGTCAAGGGCCCTTTGCTAGCGCCATGCAAAGATTCGCGCCTTCAAGGCTGTCACATCCTTGAACTCTGCCAAGCCACGCCATGAACTCTGCCATCTCTTGCCGATTGGACGCATTCAGCCTGCCAATCCGAAACGACCAGAAATATGATCTTCACCACCGGAGCCTCGCCCTTGGCTGCCAAAGATTTACATCTCTGCGCGGCCCGAGAGACATCTGCCAGTTGCAAGGCGTCGCGAGGATGCAGCGGCTTGTAGCATTGCAACGACCCCTTTGGCAGCCTCTGCCCTGCCTTGTTTGGCATGAAACCCCAAAAGGCATCCAAAAAGAGACTCTCCGAAGCTTCATGGAACTTCCTGCCTGCGTTTGCCAAACAACTTCTCGAATGCTTGGCTGACCACTAAATTTGCCTTCCCTAAATGAATAAAACATCCATAAACTTGGGAAGTGAGATTCAAGAGCTGCTCTTTTTTGCCGGACTACTCACGCCCAAGCTGCGGCAAATTGGCATACAAGCATCGCCCAGCATCAACGGAGTGCCTCCAGTCGCTGTCCGGAGACCTTCCGGAGGTCCTGGCAAATCGAAGCAGCAGGGCTCGAATCTGAGAATCTACAAGTGTGGTTGGGGCAGGCTTGGGCTACACGCAACTTGCAAGATGTGAACACCTGGAATGATTGAGAATCCTTCTCTTGATTCGAGGTCTGACTCGATACGGTCACTGGTGCTGGCTGCGGTCATAGGAAGGCACAGGGCCAATGCGGACGAGCCGAAGACCGCGTCAAGGGGACGACTTTCTGGACAAGCAGTTGCTGTAGAAAGATTCCAGGCTTCTGCGCAACTCTGGCGCCAGTTTCCGATTTCAACGTGAAGACATTGTGCCATGTAACAGTTGAACTTTGGGGTTTGCAGGGGAGTTTTATACAACTAGGGGTTTAAACAGCTACTTGGCGGGAGTTGCTCAGCACGCTGGGTCCCGTGCCCTAAACAAAATGCTTGCTCAAACTGGGACAATCCCGCAAACCCGCTTTAGACATGTCTGCTATTCAGCTTGCCACTGGTGGGTTGAAGCCCTGTGGTTTGGATGTTAGAGCGTAGCTTCCCATCTACCTCAAGAGCCAAAAGTTCAAATCCCAACGCCAACATGGGAAGCCCGAGCTATGCCCGACCCGGCGTGCAATGCTCTTGCAGGCTTAACTCTACACGTGGGGCTGTATGGTGGGTCAGAATCTAGCTCACAAACCGCTTGAGTGGGCCAAACGTCCGAGCATATGTGGCGAAGGCGAAGGTGCAGCTATCGCTGCAAAACAAATCCAGGAAGCCATGGCGAAGAACGCCTTTGGTCTGCAAATGGTCAGGCCTTGTCGAGGTGTATTAAGATTTAGATGGCCAATAGTTACAATAATCACCATTAAACGGTGGCCGGTACCCCCTTCCACTTCATCCGTTTCATCCACCGCTAACCCGCTATTGAATCCTAACACATGAGAGGGTGGGCGTCGAAAACCTCAGCGAGGTCTCTACGGGGTTCCTGACAGGCGCCTCTAAAGATCCCCAACCCCATGGTTGACTTCACCGAGAATCCTCAGGGAAGCTCCTAAAAATCAGGATCGCTGCCAATCTCGCCCCTAAGACCGTTCAAGGGTTTGGGGTTAATTCGACCCCAAGGCAACATAAGGCGAAATGAAACCTGGAGGGAGAAGAAATCTTGCGTTGCCTGGTTTAGAGGAGTCCCTGTGAAAAATGGCCGCTTTCATGGGAACCCCCTTTGGTTGGCTATGTTGGCTTTAAAGCGGGCCCAAAATGAAACCATTATTTTTGCCCATTTGAGACTCATTGAGACTTATTTGAGACTTATTGAGACTCATGTTGAGATACACTCATTTGAGACTTATTTGTAGTCGACCTGGCCCCTCCTGCTCCAAGCTTCGCATGCGACCATCCAGCTGCACCAAAACCTCGGCAAACCCGTTTCCCGCTTGGAACCGACAGCCCCGTATCGTATCAGGTGCTTGGATTTGGCCCTAGGCACCCTGAATCTTGGTCACTATAGCGGGGGGCCTCTTGGTGTTGCAGCAAATGTTGGCTTGCTGCTAACGGAGCGTCGGCGGCTCGCATAGCAAGTTCAATGCATCCATTGGTCGCTGCGCTTTCAGCCACAAGAACAAGGCAAGACAAATCCTGCATCCACCCCCGAACCGGTCTGGTCTTTCGCCAGATGCCCACTTTTTGCTTAGTGCGGAAATTCGTGCTGTTCCAACAGCCGACGGGTTGACCTTGCACCACACAAAGTGCACATGCTGCCTTTCGGAAGGCAATCTTCCAAAGCAAATCTGTTCACCTCAATGTCGGACGGCAGGGGGCAAAAATAAAACTCTAAACTCAAGAAGGTCATGTAAAAGGTGGAACCAAACAGCAAAAGCAGGGAAACATCAACGTGGGCCGCGATTGTTTCGTTTGGGGATAGCAACGGCTCACTTGCATAAAAGAGCCGGATGGTGTCAAAACCCAATATGGATCAGACCAGGGTTTTGTATATGCTTCCCGTTTCAACATCACCCCAGAAGCAAACAAATCCCCATGGCCACCACAAGGTGAGGTATCTGCACAAGTCATCCGAGTCTCGATTGGACATGCCAGGGCTCCTGTCCAACCAGGCAAGCCAATTGTGGTTGCTTGTTGGTCGATTCCTTCCAGGGCATTTTCCGGTCTAGGGATGCTGACATTTAAAACCTATATGTCAAAAAATACCCACAAGCAAAACTGCGAAACTACCAAAGTTGTTGCCAACTCTTTTGCTAGCCGCAACAGAAAATTTATTATTACACTTTATTTGACGAACAAGGTTCGACAAGGTCGTAAATGGTACCCCCCTTCAAGGCTGCCCCCGAGAATCGATTCATGAATTCTCCAGCTCCGCAAAGTACGTAGTGCAATTGCCTTTTACTTTTGGCAATCCTATTGGCCAGACAGGGGTCCACACAGGAAAGAAACGAAAAGGACAGGTCCAGACTGATCCGAGGGGGCCACAGGGATCCGGTTGTCCAAAACCTCGTTGACCTTGAGGGGCTGTAAAAATAAAATCATGCTCCTCCATTACATGCTTGAAAGGTACCCTTTGTACAAGTGGCACAACTAACCTTGAAGTTCACAAAGCCCGTTTCCAAGAGGAAAGTAGTCTTTGACAGGGGATTCTTCCATGTTAGTCGGTGGGACGGTACCTGAAGATGCCAACTTGATTCCTCTTAAACGCGGAACCAAGGTGAAACCCACGAGTGCCGTGCGCACTCCGTAAGCCTGGCCAGCTGCAGTTGGAGCATCTGGCAACCGAGGAAGGTCCACGCATATTTTAAGTCCGAGCTGTGTGGGTGTGAACTTTGATAGGGAGCTCATAGATAGTATTCTGGAAATTCATGTCCACCACCTTGGAGGTTCCCTATTGAAACTCATTGCCATTCTTCCTCTAGCCTCACCTCACCCAAAGGAAACCCATCTGTGGCCAAAAAAATGGTGATTGAAACCGGCAAAAGGAGAAAAACGGCGAAGATAGCGACCCTATTCAGCAATCCCTCAGTCCCGCAAAATGGTTTGGATGGGTCCATTTCGCAATCCTCCCACCGACGTTGCGTCTCTGGCCCCTTACCACGGGCTAAAATGACCCAACCACGATTTTGCATGAATTCCACAGGCGCCCGACCCACACACACACACACACAGACACGGGTCTGCTTTTTTGGAGGGAATCCTTGAGTTTGGTTTGCAGGGAAATCCATGGCACAGATCAATGGGTTGAACTCATGAGCCTCAGGGTTGGGCCAACCCCGTGGCTAAATATGCTTAAACATGTTTTTTTTTTTTTTTCTCCGTTGTAGGGTACGTACCAGGGCCTGGGTGCTTGAATAAACTTTGCTCAACCCCATAGTGTATTGATTGACCGCAAAGCCTTCAACAGGTGTACAGGATTAACCACATTTGCCTGGGTACTTGTACGTTCGGCCAAGTTGATAAGTAACTGGCTGGATTTACAACCTAACATCTGGGTCAACTCCACTTCGAGGGACTCATAGACAAATGGGTCACAAGCTAGGAAAAGTACCAACAACTTGCGAACAGACCACCCAAGCAGGTAATTGGGTATATCTTTAAAACGTCATCTAGGCTACAAACTGATTGTTTCGTCACGGGGCTGATGCCATACCCAATTGACAAGGCGGGTACCACCGTCCCCAAACCAAAAGAGCACCGCCTTTTTGCCCTGAGGTCGCTGACGCGGCTCGGGCCGAACGCTCCAATCGCCAGTCCGCATCGCTAATTTGGGATGCCGAAGTCTGCGATTCACCGAAGGTCCATACTCCCCTGCAGATCAACATGGAACTCCGAGATTCCTGCAACAAGAAGAACTCCGGCCCCATGCTTATCTGCACGGGGGTAGGTGTCCCCCTTCAAAGATCGCCCGACCCAAAACTTCAAAAGAACTCTCACTTGGCTCAGCAGCTGATCCGCACCCTGATCATGTGCCAAACAAGTTGGACACAGGCAGCTGTGACTCCACCGACGCTTCCAGCAAAAGACACAGGGAAGGCGCAGCCGGGCTCTTGCGCCACCAGCGCTCGATGTCGCGCTGCACCTGCAAGGCACGAGTAAAGTCAGGCAGCGGATAACGAAATTGGAAGCCAAGAGCTTGGTGTTGGTATGTCTTTCTTGGGAACTTCCTTTGGTTGTTGAGGGAAACCAACCAAAAACACCAACCAGCTGTGGGAGAAACCCAAGTACCTGAGACAAACCTGGGAAAAGACTTGGTGCTCAGTAAACAAGAACATGACCCCGAAAAAAAGCCCTGCAACTGGTGTGTTTCCCTTAATCCCTGTATTCCCAACACCCGGATCTTCTGTCGCGAGATCGGTAGATCACTGCTCAGGCCTCCAGAAACCGGAGAAAACGGCCGGCCGGAAAATAAAAGGGAGAAGACCCTTTGGGCGGATTTGCTCGTTAAATGTATACATATCACATATATATATATATATGCATGTGTGTGTGTTTCTTTGAGGTTGCCCTTTTGGTTGGTGAAACCGAGGTAAACCAAACGGAAACCAGCCCCTTGTGTCTTTTGTTCTTTTCTATTTATCTTTTTGGGGGGGGGGTTGCGTAAAACGTGCACACCCGTACGCCGCCCAGCCAAAAAATCAGACAGCTGCCCAATGCCAGGCTGTTTCAGCGGAGAACCGGCTTCCAGGCTCCAGGCATAGGCTCCTTAAGTCTCATGAAGGCATCCCCAAAATCCGACTTTTGCTTGGACCCAGCTTTTGGACATGCCTGAGAATTGGCTCACTTGCCCAAGGACCTGGACATGAACGCTAACTCTGCTAATGATGGAAACCAGAATCGAAAATCGACCAATCTCGGGAAACCAACACGTCCAAAACCACCTCTGGAGGCCCGCCTTCTGGCTGCCGCGCGCGCCTCGCCACGCAGCCCGCGGCCAAGTCCGCACGGGGCCAGTTGAGCGGTCGCTGATCAGCCCTTAGTTTCGGGACCCCGGGAGAAGCTAATGACTAGCGGTGGCTCAAAAAAGTTGGTGACCATTTTTGGGCCCTTGGATAAACAAAGGCCAACATTTGCGTAACCCCAGATATTTAGTTTTGAGCCACACCCAAACGGCAAATAAGGCCTCAACAGTCAGTGGTCTGTTGGGTGAGTATGCATTGGCAAGAAGCCAAGAACCAAAGTACAACGCATGCCAATAGTGAGAATACCACCTACAAGAAAAAAAAGAAACACAAATTTCTGAAACAAACACAATGTTCAGACATACAAATTCCATTGTGGAAGCCTATCAGCTGCGCATGTCCATGTAGTGTTGAAGGGCAGAAAGGGCAGGTCATCGAGAGGAACTTAAGGCCCCACCGCCGCCCAAGAGAGGGTCTTTGAGACCCCGGCCCGTGCTTCTCGTGCCAAGTTGCGTCTCGAAATGCCACAGCGAAGCGCAACGTCTCACGTCGTGGTTCAAGGCTTTCACGTCCGATGTCGAAGAGAGTTGCCCAGATCCCGTGTTGCCAACCTGGACAGTTCGTGGCACTTAAAAACCCCAACCGACCTCCAATACCCCCTCCCCCTGTTTCCACAAAATGAACCCCGAACACGGCATGGCCTCATTCGATTCCGGCACCCGAGCGCTGAAGAGGGGATGGGCTCCGATGATCTATGGAAACGAAGACACGTAAAGCATTGGAAGAATCCGCCAAGTCTTCGTGTCGGCATATCAGAGATAACTGAGCCATGCACCCGTGATTCTTGATTTTGTCTCAAAATGGCACACTGCCCTGAAACGAGTGGTAAATTGTTGAAATTGCTTGTGAAGCAAGCGCCCGAAGGCGATCGTCAAACAAGGCATATCTACTGTTCCGTGACCCACACACACAAACACAATCACCCGAAAACACAATATGGGCTTGAGTGCCCATTCAACAAACGGCTTGACGCCCGCCCTTTAGTCTCCTTGCCTGTGCCTATATAGATGCACTGGGTGCGGGTCTTCTTTTAGGGACCCAAGACATGGTGACCGTCCTCTTGGCGTCCCTTTAGAACCCACAAAAACGGGAAGTTAAGGCAACTCTCGCTGGTTTTTGCACAAATACAATGGCGCCCTTTAGCTTCCAAACAGGGCAAAGCCTGCTTTGAAAAAAGCAGCCAGGACTTGGTACAACGCCAGCCATTCACGTTTTTGACACGAATGAACTCTACGAGTTCACCAACCTACCTCAAAACCTCATGCCGCCCAAAGTAATCGCACCTCAAAATGGCCACGACAAGGTGATGGTTAATCCGCCCAAGCAGGCAACGCCCCATATGCACGCTGAAGCAAACAAATTATGTGGGAACTGAGCCCAGGACGCGCTGGCGGCCTCGCGGATAGGCAAGCCTAAGTCCAACCAGGTTTGGCAGAGGTCGATTTGGGTGGCTGATTTGAGGCTGCCTTACAGGGAAGCCAGGAAAAACCTGGGCCTTCTCCATTGAGGCAAACAAATAAGAAAGCAAGCGCGAAAGCAATCAAACAATCAATCAATCCATCCACCCACTCCACACCACACCACACAACATCACATCACATCACATCAATCACTCAGTCAAGCAAACACGCAAACCAGAAAGCCAGCCAGCCATCCATCAGCAAGCCAGCAAGCCAGCAAGCCAGCAAGCCAGCAGCAAGGAGCAAGCCAGCAAGAAATGAAAGAAGGCAAGCGAGAAACAAAGAGCGCAGCAAGCAATAAGGCAAGGATGCAAGCTAGCAAACAGACAAGAAAAGATATAAGATCAGCGAGCCAAGAAGCAATCACATGTTGAATTGCAGTGCGATCTCAGGCCTGCACCAGCCAAATGATCCCCTCGCTGGTCTACGATGTCCAGTACCTCAATCTTGGCTTGGAGTTATCCGAGCGGAACAAAACAACGCGCGGCTCTCGTGATGCATTTTGCCAAACACAAAAAACACCTAGAAATGAAGGTTAACCTTTGGGCATTGGAGACAAAAAATTACAAAGTCACCTTTGGACGACCGAGTGCTTGTAGCGATCCATTTGCTCCGCGCATGCTGGGCTACTGGCTGAAAAGAAAAAGCAAACCAACGGGTTTGTTGCTGACGTACCGCGGATTGGAAGTTCGCCGTGTGAGCAGACCAGCCAAGCACCACTGAGTGCAACCAAGCAGCAGAGCTGTACGTCGTCATGTCTGGAGCAGCACGGTGACAAGCCAGGCTACCTCAAAACTCGCCCCATGCACAAGCAAGCATCCAACCAACCAACCACCCAACCAAACAAGCAAGCAAGAAGCAAGCAAGCAAACAAACAAGCCAGCCAGCCAGCCAGCCACCCACCAACCAACCAACCAACGCAGGCAGAAAAGAAGGTAAGCACGCAACACCAAGCACTCAAACCTGGCCAAGGCCCGACCTTTTACTGAACGAGGTAGGCCAAGTGTAAGAATAAACAATTCCGATTGCCCCTGAGGCCACGATTGCCCCTGAGGCCACTAAAGCAGGTAATTTGCGCATGGTCACCTTCTATTTGCCCGAGGTATGGCTTACACAATCACCGATCATGACCATTTCCTGTGGGTGCTAAGTAGGGTGGCGGGGATGGACAAATCAACAATCCCCCCGAGCTTTTGGCAATTTTGGGGAAAACAAGAGCATTGCCATTTCGTCCAAACGTGCAGGACGCGCACACACACACACAAACTTCGCCAAATCAGCAAATGGAATTCAGGAAATCTAACACCAGCAAAGAAAATCAAAGGAAACGCAACTAGAGACTAGTGACTAGAGTGCTCCATAAACAGATCCAACAAAATATTCTATGTGAGCAGCTAGTATACATTTTCCCACATTTGAACTGACCTCATTGCTACACGTGATCAACTCAAAGTTCCCTTCAGCAAGGAAGTCACTGACTTGGTTGCTGATGCCCCGTCTGCAAAAAAATGAGCTTTTAACTGTTTAGTGGGTCCAATGGACAATCCCACCAGTTTCAACCAAAACCTAAAGTCCAAAGATCCAACCAAATAGCCATACAGCTGACCCGCTGGAGCTACGAGTAGCATTCAGCTGAGCGGCTGAAAGTGACCAGGCTCGAACGCCAGCGTCCTGACGAGGTCCGGTGCAGCTGCGGGTGCTGGGCCCGATGGTCACATTTTCGGGATCCTATGGTCAGGGCCCCCCCAATCCCAACGGCTACTAGCAACTAACATAGGCGTCCTTTTAGGGGAAATAGATGGCCTGGTAAATGATTAAACCACCAACATAAACCAGCGCCATCTATTTTTCTACCAAAGCCACCAAACACCTATGGCAACTAATAAGGCCTATCAGGGGCTAGTCGTGTTCCTTTTCTGGGGGTCCCCTCTTTGGGGGGGCGCGTGACAACCATGGGACCCCTTCTTTCTCACCCACAGGTGATACTGGTCCCACACCCTTTCCAATTCCGAAAAATGAGGCCCCAACTTCGGGCATGAAGATGCATGACTGTCGGCTTGGCGTAGGCTTCTTTTGACCATGGGCGCTGAGCCCGACACATGCGGAAGGCCAATGCCATCCCGGGAAAACCCTATCTGCCAAGGATCAGGTCATCGGGAAAGGCCTCCCCTCCCCACCCTTGGAGGTCCATGAAATGGACATGTCGAACCCCCAGCCCGCCCAGTCCTTCTGCAGATTACCTGTTGATTTTCTCCTTTCTCATTGTTTGTCCTTTTTCGTTTCAGCAAGTTTGAGCTGTGTTTGCTCTTGTGTTTCCAACACGCCATTCCTTTTCTTCAGCGGTAGCCTCCGCCCGAGGACAATCTACACAGGTTTATTGCCGTCTGGGCCAGCCTCGGACCATATACATTGTCGTACTGGCCCAATGGTCGCAGTCCAAAACAGCAGCACAAAAAGGCAGGAGACCTGAAAAGGGGAAGCGCCCTGTCAGTTGGGGCACGACAACCCTCATGGTTGGAAGAACACCACCCACACCAAGGAAACAAGATGTCACCAACCGGATCAGCCGATCCGCGCAATCGATCCACTGTGGCCATCGGCGACTCAGACCAAAACAAAAAGGTATTTGGAGGGTTTGCCACCAAACAGCGAGGGAAACTGGGATCTGAGCAACTGGCCGTCTTCAAGACCAACTCCCGGAGTGGATTTGGAAATGCAAGTCTTGCCTCTACAATCGGCTTTTTTTTGGGAAAGTACAAGGTCCGCCGGACGTCGGAAAAGCAAGAAGGGAAAACAGGGTCCCCATGTTCCCCTTGAAACATCACCCCACCATTTCCACAGGTTTAGCACCCCTTTAAGGACATAACTTTTCGGAAGCGGTCAGCGGTCCTGCTTTTTGGCAGCTCAGGATCACCGAGTTGAAGCTGATGCTCTCTGGCTGCCTGAGACTTGGGCTGTCTTTAGGAGAAACCCAGAAAAATCCCTTATGGGCATGTGTGTGTCTGTGTGTGTCAAAAACGGGGACTCCCAAAATGTCCCAGGAAATGACCAGCCCCACTAGCCGTTGGCGAATTTGATGGCCTGTGAGCCGCGGACGCGGGGGGTCTCTTTCGAATGGCCTTCTTCCTTCCTGCTCGGAGACTTGGCTGCTGTTTACCCCTCTGCAACAAGTTGATTCTGATTACTTGTTGTGGGTATGGCAAAACCCTTGATCTCCACCAATAAGCTAAAGTCGAAAGATCCGTTACCCAAACAAGCAATCAAGCAGACAATAACATAATGTTTTTTCGCCTGTACCACGTACCCTCTTTTCCTCCCACCAGGCCCCTAGGCCCCTGGTACCTGCGTTGGGGCATTATTGCGCCCAAAGAAAGCAGGTCACGCACCCCCCTTGAAAGACGCTGGTCAGGTTGATCTTTGACCTGCACAGGTATAAGCATCAAACTTGTGACAAATTGATATGAAACTATGGAAAAAGTCATCGTCCCAACAGTTCAACGGCAAAACGTTGAACCACATACCTAATCAAGAAGAGTGGCAGTATAAACAGCTGTGTGTAATGAAATGATCCTACTCTCTTATGATATTGCTGTTCAAGTCCCCCGCAACCTCATTCTAACCTGAGAGAGGACGGACCGAAAAATGTCGGCATCCCCCGACACAGGTGAACCAGCAACATCCAAATGGCCATGCAAAAGAACAGGTGGTGGTGGCAAACCAGTCCAGCCGGACAAGCCAGGGACGTTAAAACAAACGTCGAACTGGCAAGTCTTAAAACAGAGAGCGAAGCATGCGCCCGGGCATTTTTGGGTGCAAAAAACCTGCCCAGCGCGGCCGGACAGGGCAGGAATCGAGCTCCCTGTGGCCACCATCTTGCCACCAGGGTTCTTACAGTGTGCGGGTTGGTTAAGCCTGAAAAGTGAGCAAAGGGTCCCCTACCCTCAGTTGCCCAAAGGATCTGAAAATAACGGGTGATCACCTTTTCATGACTCGCTATGAACCAAGGGGAAACCAACGGGAATACCAAGATTGTCCTTTTGGTTCTCCTTTTACATCCACTGCAAACGGGTACCAACTCCAAGAAGGACACCACTGCCAGGCTGCAAATTCTGGGACCCCATGCGCCGCAGTATTGCCAAGGCCTTGGGTTTCTTTCGCTTTCGCGGGCTTGGAAACCCACCGCCGTCGAAACCGTCGCCCTGCTTCCATGGAGGGAATTACCCCATTCTCTCCCCCCTCCCGTCTCTGATATTGGTCTCTGCCGCTCTCTTGATTGGTTGAAAATGAAACTGAGAAACACACGCACACACACGTCTCAGACCAGGCTCGACATCCTGCTGAAAGGCTACCGAGCGGCTGCATGCCTTCTGCAGGACGCATCCACACACGAACCACGCCAACAATGCAAAAAGCAAAATCCATACCAGGACTGGTGAAAGCCTCTCTTGAAGATGTCCCCTAGTGAACGAGCTCGCTTACTTAGGGTTTGCCTAGTGGTAAATGAAGGCGAATATGTGGCCAGCGGCACTGCTACCTCAGCATTCTCAATGCCCAATTGCCCAGCGACCCTAGAAGAAGGAACCATGCAGTCTTTGTTGACGTGGATTCTTTGCCTTGCGGAACTCATCAACCAACAGAATATCAAAGGGCGCCGTTGCAAACCTGGGCTAGGCTCATCTGCCCAATGTGCGCTGGGAGGTGGGAGTGGGCTCGCCCTTGGAAAGCCCCTCCCTCACATTGCAAACACGATTCAGGGATAGATATAGCAAGAAGAGCCATGCGTGATGGCCGAAAAGTCGCCAGCCATCACCAATAGGTTGCTGTGGCGCGGCTCCTCTTGCGAGTTGGCTTGCCACGTTGCTTCGTGCAGGAATTTGGGGGGTGGGGGGGAGAGTTTGCGGGCAAAATGACGGGGACCCTCAAAATTGCTTTGGTTCTTTGAAGTCCCTTTCAGCCAAGCCAAAAAGGGGTTTCCCCTTAAACAAGCACATGCACATGACCCATGCCAGTCCTCCCTCCACAATGCTTGGTGTCCTTGTTGAAATTTCGGTTTGCCTGGAACTACCAACAAAAAAGGGGTCACCCATTTGGCTCTGTGTCAACATCGGGGATCCCAAAATGGTTGTGCCCTGTTTGGTTTCCCTTTGTTTGCACCAACCCGAAAAAGGGCGCCCTCAAGAAACAAACACCCACATCGATAAAACCTTGGGTCCCAGACCCCCCCCCAAAAAAAAACAAAAGCAAAGCAACAATCAAAGTACGGCTTCCCGTTAAACCAACCCAACAACCACTCCAAAAAGGGTTCCACTCGTTTAAACCCACTCCTTTAAACCCCAAAAAACCACTCAAACAAAATCCACTAGTTTAAACACCAGCTTTAAAAGAAACAAAACAAACACAAACAACCACTCCCAAAAAGGGCTCCACTCGCTTAAGCCCACTCCTCAAACACATAGCCCCAAACAAACACACTCCACTATAGGGCTACCCTTCAGACCCTTCCGCGTGAGTTGCTCTTTTGGCCGAGCGTCTGGTCGCCAACTGCCTCCCTCGCAGCTCTTCATGGCCACGTTGCAGCTGATCTCCGTGAATTCCAGCGCCAAGCCTCTGGAAGATATGGACGGCGGCGGAGCACCGTGGAACTACCGGGGGGGGGGGGGGTTGGGGGGAGTTCTGGGTGTGTTCAATATATATATATATGGCCCACGTGGTATAACAACACATGAACCGCGGGGTTGGTGGTTTTCTAGGTGCAACAAAAACGGGGTCTGAGAAAAATGGTTCCTGTTATGGCCCATGTGGGTATACTGCTGAGAAATTGACAACTAGTGGCTGTTTCCAATCCAGTTTGTATGACTTGTTGTTTTGGAATCAAGGGGCATCCGTTGGCAATGAACTGCCAGTAACCTTGTAAACGGTTCAACCTTTCATCGTGTTTATTGGGACGTTTTAAAATGGTTCACCCTTTCATCCCATTTATTGGCCCGTTTCAAAGGCCTTCCTAAGAAGAAGATGTATACAGCTGAAGAGGGCCTTGCTTTCTACACCTGGGATGAAGAGGGATGAAGGGCATGCAAGCACGGGCCGTCTGCTTAGAACCTTGGAGCATCCCGGACAAAAAAAGCCAGGCTCCCCCATACACCCAAACAAACAACGGGAAACATCCAGAATGTTGCCATACAAGTTACATAAATCAGCACGATTTGCGGGTAAGCTGGCTTTCCACCAGGTAAGCGCCAGTGTCTGCGGTTAGCAGAAGATGTGTTTTGCCTCTTTCCTGGGTGTGACATGTGTGACAAAAGCAGCCAAGCAGGAAATCACGCTTGTTCCAATGCAGACTAACGTGGAACCCGAAAAACCATTCTCAAAGGCATCTACTTTTGGCGAAATTGTAAGGGGGGGAGAGTCTCAGGAGGTACGTTTTTTTAACCCCCCGAGGCCTCGCATGTGCCGCAGGGCACCAACGCATCGCCGCCAGGCCAAAGCCTTCCTCAGTTCATTGCTGGCTCCCATGACTCGGGGAGAAGCTGGGGTCAGGGTGGGAGGGTTGGAGGGTGGGGGTCGGGGGGAAGAGAAGCGGCCGGGCGGGGAGGTCCTCTTACCGTCTTGACTAGAGTAACAGACCAACAGAAAACCTACACTACCGCACTACCTGGCATTGGAACCGGTAGGGGTTGAATGTTTCGCCTTATGGCTTCAAATAGCATCGGATGCTTGCATAGGTGTCCTTTTTAGGCTTGTTGGCTTAGAAACAAATGGCACTGGTTTAGATTGGTTTATTCCATTTCCAGTGGCACCTATGTCTCCAAATGGTCCCCTATGGATTCCTTTGAAACCATTCTACGTTCAGGCTGTCCAGTGGCAGCGGGGGGGGGTGGGGTTCTGTGTCCACGCGTGAAATGACAAGCATTGGAAAGCGACCTAAGCCCACATTTAACCCTGAATAGCGGAGCAACTAACTAAAAAATCACTGGAGGATACTACAGTATCCTACCGTAACCACTTTCCTTCCGGACAGATAAACATATATAGAGTTCTGCGAGCATGAAATCCAAAGAAAGGCGAAAAGCCACTTAAAAGGTTCCAACTCATTTTAAGAAACGCCCAACTAGTTGTGACATAGGAAGCAGTGCGGAAAGGTGGTGCCTGACCGGCTCACCAAGTCTTAACTAGATTGGCCTGGAGTCAAAGTGACTAGAATGATAAATCCAGCAACACAAGTCGAGATGTGTTTCCTCAAAAAGGAACAGTTGATTTATGCTATAAATTGATGATCTATTTGAGAAGGCGTTTCACCCCTCTTGCGTGTGTTTGATGCATTCATGTGTTTTTGCTAAAGATGGTTTCCTGCAATGTGCAACAAACAAAAGAAACAACGCAAACTAAGCGAGATTGTGAAAGGATGTTTGAGGGATTCTGCTTAGGTTGCTTGTATATCTTCTTAAGCGCTTTCCTCCCTAAAGGAATCTAAACCACAATTCGCCCAGCAGGTGATATTTGAGCTCATTCGGAAAGGGAATAAGAAAAGTATTGTACTTTAATGCGCTGCCCACTCCCAACAGCAATTTGGAGAGCGCCGCCTCCAAATTCAACCACTTCTACAGGCTCCTTAAAGGATACACTGGGCCTTTAGCGGCTGATCTGGAGGATCCCTTGTAAAGCAAGTGGTTTTCGGCCGGATTCTGGGCCAGACTTGGACACCCGGCAAAAAGTTACACTTTTTGTTGGTTGATGTTGGTCGAAACGAGAAGTGTAGAAATCCCCAAAAGTCTCAAACAGTTCCAACGCTAAGTAAGGCAATGGTAAGGGACATAGGTGACCTTTGGAGAACTGCATGGTTTTCCTGGTAAATAGAGGAAAACCGATCTAAACCAATGGAACCCATCTAAATATGTCTCAAGCAAACCGATCAAACGGACACCTATGATAAGGGACACAAAGGTGCTCCTCAAAATTGGGGACCAATTCCTCCGGACGGCTTCCTTTTGGTTTATCTTCAAACCCCATCCCAACAAGTGGTCTCCTATTTTGAGAACCCCCAATGTTGTTGGACCCTAGCTTCGTGGCACCGGGGCTCCGGGATCTCTTTGCCACGGCTCTGACAGGCACCCATGGCCGCGTTGCAGGTCACTTCTTGCCTCATGGAAGGGTCTGGGATTGCAAACGGGGCCAAACACATTGGGTGTGCCTCTTTTTAGCAGACCCCCAAGATGGTGGGTTTTCCTTTAAAACCGCTGCAAAAACGGGCACGCTTAAAAAGACAAAACCACAAAGAACAAAACAAATAGAATGGGGGGGAGTGGAGTACTATGAACCTAACTTGAGTCACAAGTGCAGGAGCATACCATTAGCACGTATACCCTGATATCACCCGACAAGTTTTTTTGACCACCTGGCCTGGTACAGGCTTACAGTTGGATGAAAGTAGATGGCCCTTGTTTTCTTCGTAAACATCGACATACTGTCTATACAGCTAACACTCTAAATGAAACCATAACAACAACGACCTATGAACCCAAACCTCTGAAAGCCTAATTCTAACACAACAAACTAAAAGCCTGAGCATTTAATGACAACTCTTGTCCAAGAGGCCATGGGGCCCAACCGGTTGAACCGAGCTGCAGGTCAACCAGCGATGTGGCCATGCGCCCCAGCAGCGCGAAGCAGTTCGACCACTCCACCAGCTTCTCACATGCGCTGACCACCTCAAGCGACTCGAAGCTGGAGCCAGGTACGTGGTCACGTGGGCGGCCGTGTTAAGATACTGTGGGATGGACGGGATCCATTTCGCACCACGAAAGAAACCCTGGAAGGATGATTCCCGTGCAAATACCAACAAAGAATGGTTTCCCATGGATTCCCGGTCGTGCAGGATTCTGTCCATCCACAGTAGGATCTCGAAATGGTGGTTTGCTCATTAGTGTCCCTTTCAACCACTGCAAAAAGGGCTCCCTCCAAAAAAAGACACAGGAATATTATAGCTGAAATGGGACATTCTTCGGCCCGGTCTTCGGAAGCCTCTGGCCGCCTGCTTGAGTCCACAACGCCCCGCCCTGACCCCCACTTTCTATATGCTGAGAACTCGAATCAAAATGTTCCTAGGGGCCCAGTAATGAACACCTACATGGGTCTGTCTTTTTTGAGGCAACTGGTACCCCTTTGGTGGTTTTGAAGGGAAACTCAGAGGAGCATCACATCTAGCTTTTAAATGTTTTCTCTTCTTCTTCATTTTTTGGGGGCGGCAGCCGAAAAAAGACACATCGAGAACTCATCAAACTGCTCACTGTGCGGGGCCCAGTCGACACATCCGGGAAAAAACAACAACGGCCGGGCGGCAGCATTGAAGCCGATGCTCGTGCACCTCAGGCTGGTGGTCGCCATTCCTTGGCGGGCGCTGAGCGTCGCCCTATCTGTGGGTCAAGAGCCAAATCGTACCTCCAGTGAACATCCCAATCCCCACTAGACTAAAATCAGTGGTGCGTCTACCCCAAAATGGTACCATTGGTGTTGACCCACAGCCATCTCAGAATCCCTCAAAAGGTCGGCTTTGAACAACTGAGCTGAAACATACATGGCCCTCAACAAACAATCAAGTACAAAACAAACCCCTTGGGTCCACCATTGAAATGAAATGATCCAACCCAAATCAAATCGTGCAACCCCCCCTGTAAAATGGCAACTAACGTGACTCGTGGATTGGCCCCGAACTCCCTGTCCAAGCGGGATTCTTGGGGTGCCCTTCTTTGGAAACTTTGACAGCTGCACGAGGATTGTAAACTTATTCAAGGTGGCCCCTTAAAGTGGTCTTCCCCGAGTACCCCTTGAAAGGTCGGCACACCATCCTTCATGTTCCCACAAGGAGGTTTTGCTGGATGGTTGACCGGCATGCAAGCAAAGCGACACTCCCTTGGGTTCAAAACTGTTTAGACCAGGTCTCCTTGACGATGGCGGTCTAATCACTTCTTACAAAGGCCTGACCGTCGGGGACATCGATCAACATGGGCAATTTAACATTTAGCACCGAGCAAGTTGGCCCTTCAGCAGGGGGAAGAAGCTAGCTGCTTTCGCAAGGCTCCCTTTTCAGCGACCTTTAACCCAAGCCCTGTCTAACAGTTGGAGGGACTTGAAGGATCACTGGGATGAACTCATCCGTTCCCCAGACCTGGTAAAGAACCCATAACCCAATCCCCCTATTAAACAAACCCCTGCCCAAAGGGTGTTCACATGCAGAGATGCTGTAAGCAACTTCATTGTTGCAACATTTGAGTCATAATCAAAATCCGGTATTAGAATGGTCGACCCAGAACCATGTAAAGAACTGGGAAGGCGGCCGCAGCTATTTGTGATTGGGATTGTTCTTGCTAACCTTCACTTACCCGGGTTTTGATTCTGACTCATTTCAACATAGCAAGCAAACAGGACGAAAGGGTTGAGCCTGGCCAAGCGTCCCGCGAGCAATGCTAAGCTCTGCGGCCAAAGCCCTCCAGCCTTCTCGCAGGCTGTGATGGCCGCATTGCTGCCTAAAGGCGTTCGGCCCACTTCAGCCATTGGGGGAGGGAGAATTAGAGCGTGGTGATACCACAGTGGCAGCTTCCAACGACTACTTTATCACTCTAAGAAGGTTCCCTTGAAGCCGGTTGAAGCCGGCCTCCAAACCAGTTTTCCACCACCATGAGCTGGCAAAGTCGTCCACACTAAAAGCACAGCACCTTGCCGCCAAATGCGCAGCCGCAGGAGTTTTGTGGGTCGGGATCAACCCCAACAAGCCAGTACCACGGGAGGGTCAAACAGACCAATATAACTAGGTGATTTGGGCTGGTAGTTGAGAAGGTTTCGCTCCCTTCCAGCATCCTGCCAGCATGCACGGCTTGGAGAGGCCAGGTTCGGGGCAGCTTCTCACAAGATTAAAGTGGACACATACCCTTTTCTTTTATCTCAAACAGCACCTGAACATGCACAACACATCAAACTGCCAGACGCAAAGAACGTGTGGGGGGATACATCTTCAAGATGGCAAGGCTGAGCATGTGAGCAAAGCCACTGAGATGTCAGCTATGGCTTTGCCCGACGACTCCCAAGCCAATCTCATCGGAGTCAATGGACTCTGGGCAGATCATCACTGCTCAAATGGACAGCTGCCAAAACAGGGATAAAGCCGCGAAAATGGCTACGAGTTTCCGTTGGGTTCCCTTGGAACCCACCGCAACAACAAGTGCCGAGCAGCAAAAAAGATGAGCCACCCAAATTGATAAACCAAGGTGCCCACCTCCTCGGGTGCCAGGCGCCGCCACATGCTCTCCCCCAATCGCTGGGCAGCAAGCCGCCAGCGGCCACACCGTGCAAAGGCGCTGATGGCGGCATTCGCCGCCTGGAAAAGGCGTTTGTGGCGCCTAAAGGGCTAAAGGGCTGCAAGACGAAGCCTGTTTCATGGGGAAGTGACAAAAAACCGAAGCGCATTTATGCTTGGGCAAAGGTTACTAGGATTGCTTCACCTACCCAAGGGAAAATAAATGAAAATAACAAAGAGGTTGTTGAAACAAGAGTGGTCTTAGCATCGATCCACTAACATGGACTCCCCAACGTGAAGGATCCTACGATCTACACTCCAAAGAGCTCCCAACCAACAGTGCAGGCCCTTTCAAATGGCCTCTGTTTATGGCCGTGGCCGTAACTTTGGCTTACCTAGGCCCTTCGGAAAGGGCGCCCTCGGTGGGGCCCTTGAGGCTCTGAGGGCCTGCCGTCAGCCACAAGAGATGGATTGGGTTTTCTGCCGAGTGGTCCAGGACACCCAGAGCGAAACAAGCAAATCCAGGTTGAAGGCCCAAACCGAAGCCACGCGCAACTACCCTAGGCGGCGAGTTTGCCATAGCGGAAGGCCCCACTGGATACATGAAAACACACTACTCCGTATTCCGACTTTCCGAGCCACACAATGTCACGAACTGGAAATGAGGAATCAAATTCATGATGCGTGAGATTGTTTTCCCCCCAAATGGGTAAGCTTGTTGAAGCCTTACTCAGATTCTTAAAGCCTTACACGCCTCAACTTCAACATGGGCACTCCAAGCGGCAGCAACTTGCAGCCGCGGAGATTTGGGGACAAAACTTGGGGGACTTCCGCAGGTTTGGAGTGTAGCGGGAAGCCTTGGCCAGCGCATCCAAGGCTTAGGCGAAAACCCAAAGGACACGCCCGAAAGTTTCGCGGCCTGTGTAGACGCGGTTAGCCTTCGCAAAGGCATCCTGCGAGAGAGAACCACGGGCATCCGGGAGGTGCTACGAGTTGAAGAAAGGGACCAGATGCCCCTGATATATGCGCACGGAAACATAAGCGCATGTGTATGCCACTTGTGAGATGGTTGTTCTCGCTGTCAGCGATAACTTGTCGCGTACCAGCCGAAGACGAGGGTTGACCCTGTTGTTGGGACTTCACAAGCCATGAGACATATAGGATGCTCCAGACTCCACACCCTCCAAGCACCTGCTCAGGTCTGGGAGTTCGCTAAGACGCTATTTGGGTCGTCTCCCTCACCTTCTAATTGAGGAGCCCCCGGACCATCTAAACCAGGGTGAAATAAATTGCACAATACCGCATCTCTGCAAGTCAACAGAATGATGAAGATGAAGCCCCAATGAGGCAATTGTGCCACCTTCTTTCACCCAACTGTAAGGTTAAGAGTTAGGACACTGGCAACCACTGAGAGGGTCTCCAGGAAATATTTTAGCAAAAAATAGTAATTTAATTGCAACGGGGAATTGCAATCGAGGTCAGGTGGATTTCCATATAGTAATTTATTTGCAACGGGGAATTGCAATCGAGGTCAGGTGGATTTCCATTTTGCACTTCTAGATTGCAACAGCTTTGAGCTGGGCTTTCATTTAGCAATTTCAATTAGTGACGGCAGCAACGGTCAATACTGAAATGCATTGCTCCTGCAACAATGATTGACCTCCTTCGCTGAGTTTGGGCAAAGTAGAGAGAGAAGTTGGATGCCGGCCGTGCGCCCAAGCAGCTCAAGCAAAGTGCGGCGTCAAGGCAAACCAGGAACAGATTGACTGGGTAGCAAGGCAGCGCACCCTGTGGATAGCACGCAACAGCAACCACTGCAACTGTAAGTGCAGCAACAACAGCAACGGCCTGCGCCGGTGGAGCAAGCGTCAATGGCGCTAGAGGCCAATTGGGCCGATGTGGGGGAGGAGCAAGCAAGCTCGCAAGACGAGCTGAGCCAGCGTGTGGCTTTGGCAGAGGCCTGTCGCCCTTCGTCAGACGATAAGCAGGAACAAGTTCTGGCGGGCAAGCCGCCAGCTATTGCTCCGGGGGCTCCGTGGTGGGCTCGGCAGCTGAGACAGGCGACCAGCAGCCTTGGGCTCACCATACCAGGCTCAGGTTCTCCGAATGTTTGACTGTTCAAGGATGAATGTTTGACTGCTCAAGGATGAATGTTTGACTGCTCAAGGGTTCTCAACGGCATTGCCAAAGATGTGTACATTGTGTAGGCCTCTTGTGCTTCACAACTTTCTTACTTGCTGCTCTTTGAATTGAGCACCACATCAGCAGTAGGTAGCAACGGGGCGCGCTCCACGTGCAGAACCCGCGCATGAGGTTATGAGGTCGTGTGTTTGTTTGGGAAGCTGAGGACCTTGCCCGTTGCTATTTAGATTGCTATTGTGATCACTAATTTAAATTATTGGAACATTCAATTGCAATTTCAAATCACAATTCAGATTGCTATTATTTACTATTCTTTGCAAAATAATTATTTTATTGTTTCCAGAGGTTCCCTGCAATCCAAACTCTTAACTGTAAGGGAATAAGTCCATGTACATATATATATATATATATGCCCTCCCCAAGTCAGCCCATAGAGCATATGTTGCTCTCTTCAAAACTGAGGTGTTGGCCGTATTGCCCACCCTGGCGAATTTCTTGTAGCGAGTTTCGAGTTTATCCACTGATCGGATTGCCCCAAACAGTCCGAAACTTTGTACTTAGTTTCCACTCAAATGGTCCAAACCCAAAATTTATATCAAGGTCCGAAACGGAATTCAGGGAGAGAGTCTGGCTTCCCCCCCCTGCTTACTCACTTCGCATCTCCTGCACACCAGCAGCGACGCCTCACGCCAGCGGCGGCCTGACGAACAGACGACTGGGACCTGCGCCTGGCGCGGCTTTCGATTTGTTTGCTCCCAGTGTTGCAGTGGAATTGCAGGGGGTGGTTGATTCGAGGGCCAAACCTCCAGTCTAATTCCATGGCAGAAAGGTAAACCCTGTTTTGGCATTGGTTGATTTGGAGGGACCCCCCTCCAAAAACATGGGGAAACTGGGACCACTAGGTCCAGTCTGGTTGCCAACGGCTCAAAACCCAGGCTTGCCGAACTGCTTAAACTTTTACTTGGGTTCCAATATGTTCCAATCACCAACATGAAAAACATAACCAATCTGCAGCTGATGAAAATATCCACAAAGGCAACATACGAGCGTCTATAAGTGCGCTTCTCAAGTCGACGCCTGCTCAGAGACATGGCTCCCCATGCCACTAAACTACTGGGTACCAAATCATCCGACTGTCTTCCAGCGGATGGACAAAATCCTGCACCAGTTAGTATGGTATTCATAGAGCTTCATTCATCCCAACCGTTGCAGGACTTTCAATCCATCCACGACCGCCTACCGAAAATTGCAAACTGCCTGCCTCGCTCACATGCGCTGATGCTTGCGCCACAGCCCATTTCGGATTCGCCGCAGGACCTGCGTCTCATGGCCACCCCCTTGACATTGGACCTGGGGAGGGGGTGTTTGGCCTGTCAGGCCCTTTTCTGTAATACCATGAGAACTCCTGAAAGTGATGTAACGTCCCACACAGATTCACATGGAACCAACAAATCAGCGTCTAGAGGAATCTCCTCTTGTTTGGGCGCCATGCTAATTTGCAGGGTACCGCTTGGGAAAACGCTGCTTCTGCAAAATGACGCAAATGTAAGATGAGCTAGAAGACCCCAGTTGCAAACCTGATGGGTGCATGAAGGGTTTAAAATCATGCAAGCCCTGATTGTGGGTGTGTTGTAGGGTTCCTTGCCCCCCTCCCCTGAAACGCCGCCACAAAATGTATGAAGCCATATGAAACCCGTTTTTCGACTAGCTAAAGGGCGATGTTGAGATGATGCAGGGGAATATAACACCCCAGGAAACTTCCCATTGTGTCGTGGCCTTGGTTGGTTTTCGGGTTAAACATGGATCGCCAAGGCGCGAAGGCAGCTTTCCAGAAGACATGAAGACTTACCAAACTGATCTCGGCACTTCCATGTTTGCTGGTTGGAAGGGCTTTCTGGGTTCAGGATGTAAGCGGAACTCCACGTCTAGCTCCAATCAAAATCAGTACTCTCAGGAAATTGCTAGGCGCTTCACAAAGGTGGAAACACAAATCCCTCGGTAAGGGGCCTTTATCAAGGGCGGGGTGAGCTCGTTTGAGCCCAACTTGGTGAGCTCGCTAAAACAGAGGCAGAGCTGATTGCCCTCCCAACCAGCAACATAGCCCCACCAGACTGCAAAGCACCACCACGATGTCAGCTCAATGGACCCAATTACAAGTCTCGCTGACACCGCAAAGCTCACCCTCACCCAAACGAGACACAAACCAATGCCCAATTTGGTGCATTTAGGTGGGGATTTATGTCCACTAACCACTTCGCCAGATGGGTATTGGTTTGGAAGAACCAGTTCGAAAGGACAACGAAAGGGAAACCACCCATTTTTGGAGGTCCCCTTTGACCCTGAGACATTCCCTACCTATGGCGCCAGCAAGTTTTGGGAGGCCCCCCGATTTGGCTGTGGCTCAAAAAACCAGTACCAAAACTGGAACGCGGTTTGCCCCTCCGATCGCTTCATTTTGAGACCTCCCGTCCCCTGAGACCGCGAAGGTCCTGACGCTGGCCAGCAGCCACTGCAGGGACTGGCGCCAGGCCTTCGATTCCCGGGCCTGGAAGCCGGTTGAACGCGGGAAGCCTGGGGTCGGCGTTTTCAAAATTCGGGATGCCTTTAAACCCTTTCCAAAAAGGGGCCACAAGTCTGACAACTCCCCAACTGGTGTAGGTGAAGCAAGTCAGTCAGCAGCTTACCTACGACATGCCGCCAGATTGCGGAGGTCTAACCTCTTTACAACACTGGAGGGCTAGCTCGGGCATTGGAAGACAGCCATCCTCTTGAAAAGGCCGTTTGTCCGCTTCCGTGAGTGCTGGACTGCTGGACAAATTGTATGTAGGCGTTTCACGAGAAGGGGCCCTTCAAGTTTCTTACATAGCCCAAAATTTGCCCAAAGACCCGATCGCAAGCGTAACTTGACTCGATCGTGAAGCCAAAGGCTAATGGCGATATTGGCTCGGACCAAGCTGCCGGAGAGGGGGGGGGATCCTATGAAAGAGCCTAGCAGGCACAAATCCCCAGGTCGTTTTATCATCTCCTTTCGCCCCATTTCTCAGGAAATGGGTCGGCCTAAAATTGGGGCAAGCCATGTGCCAACTGATTCTTGCTTCTTGGGTTGTGATGCTACTGTGAAACTGCATATAATGATGATAGGGGTAGACTGCGTGTACTTATTTAGGCCCTTCCAACTTATATTGGGAGAACAAACAAAAACAAAAGAAAATGGCAAGTCATGCTAGCGTTGTTCCGATTCTTCGGTGTTGGAAGCCCAAGCCATCCCACCCCATTGGACGCATAGATTGCCAGCGCGCGGCGCAGGCTCCGCAGCTGCTGCTGAAGGTGCGGCTGCTGAAGCCTTGCTTCGAGCCGTGAGCTGGGAGGAGCTGACGAAATGGGAAGCTACAAGGAGAAAAAACCACCGGCGGCCACTTTTTGGGGTAAGGGGCCGCAAGGAAGTTGTTTAAACAATTGGGTTTTGGTCTAGACGGTTTAGACATATGGAGGCTGGTACCCCTCATAGTCTCACTGACATCACATGCCATGTGCATAAAGTCAGACCCGGCCAAACAAAAGTCCTGTATGGTAGGCTGAAACTAGGCAGTGTCCAAAAAAAAGACACGCCCCAAATTCCTGTTTGAAGCATTGTGGTTGAAGGTACTTGGGCGTTTGGATGGAGGCTCGGTATCTGGTTGGGGTAGCTGATTGATCAGTACCCTCCCACCAATTTACATGGAAGTTGTCTTCCAGGAGCCCCATATCTGTCAGGCTCCATGGCTCATCGCAATGGGCCAAAGACACCGGCCCGAAGCGCTGAGCCACCCAGAGTCGCTTCAAGCAGCTGTGGCCACTGGCATGCACCATGGCCAAGGAAAGTCGCCAGCCGCTCCTGACTGGCGTTGAATCGGATCCTATGAAACCCCGAAACCCTCCCCCATAGATCTTCTTGAAGGGAGGCGCTCTTGCAGGGTAAGGGTGTCAAAGATGTTTATGTTTTTTTGGTTTCGGAGGGGGGCGGGGGACATAAAAGACCAAATGCAGCAACAGAACCTTGCACCCAGCACCCCCCCCCAAAAAAAAAAACCTGTATGTTTATTTGGTGCAGCCCGACCGGATTTAAAACACAAGCGAACAAGTCAAAAATAAGTAGCACACCCCCAAAGCAGCAAAGCAAGCATGGACCCGGTATATTCTAATAAGGGACAGCTGCATGACACCTACCCACATGTTGCCATTTACAGAAGCTAAACTTCTGGTTGTGAGAACTTGCCAGATGGCACCAATCATGGCCAAATGAAGCCTTGCCCTTCATGGAACAGCAAATCTTGACGGTCTCTTTTCTCCCGGTCAACCTGCTTTATGCCAACAGGTGTACCAAACATGCCTGGCTAAGCAAGCTTCGCTCTTGGCAGGGTTGTCAAAGGTAAGGTTTGCAGACACGGGGTTCCCTCTTTGCAGGTCACTGAACTTGGCCCGGAAGGCGGTGTTGAAGCCAAGGAAAGGGACAAATAATGAACCATTCCAATTGCTGCAGCTCAATCATGGTGGCTCCAAGAACGTAATTTCGACCCCGCATTACTCAACCGACAGTGTCTTTTGCGGGTGTTCCCCAGGAAGTAATAGGGTTCCATTCTAAAACGACACACCCCTTCTTCTTCTTCTTCGCCTTCAATCCTGGGTGCTCATTCAGGAATCACCACACACTTGGGAATGAACCTAGAAAAAGGTGAAGGAGCCAAAAGGAATGATTCAGTTCGGGATCCTGCCCTTCCCCAAGTCTGTTCACACTGCCGCCAAGCATCTCGCTGGCGATCACCGTGTTCCAGGTGACAATGTCGGTCCTCGTCTGTCGCGCTCGCATTCCTTGGCACGAAGCCGGACGTGCTGCGTAGACGGGATTCCACATACCCTGCCAAGTGACCCGCACGGTAGCAAAACGGAACGTTTTTTGGGGTTGACCATTTTAATGTTTGACAACCAACAAACCAAAAGAACAAAAACATGCTGCCATCAACAGCCCAACAAGTCAACTCTTTGTCCCAACAGCCTGACAGCCCACCAGCAACTCAGTGTTATGTCCCCCTTTTAAGGAAGTGCCGAACAGCCAAACACGTGATGTCCATGTTTCAGCTGTCATAAAAGTGAAATCCAGTTCAGGGGCCTGACATGTCCGCTTCAGCATCCCTGAGGAACAGGAACTCGACCGCTATGGGACCAACGCGTGAAGTTCAATTCATCCAAAAAGCAAAGTACAAAACAAACAGAAGCTTATGAGGAACTCAAAGGATTCACGACAGGGGTTGGTGGCCCATGCGCTGGAACGCGCGAAAACCACGACATTGAGCCCGGCCAGTGCAAGGCTCTGCCAATCAGAGCGCATGCTTGCCACCAGGCTGATGACTTTTCGCAGGAGCTGGCCAAAATGTTGTAGCCTGGCCCGGCAAATCCGCAGATGCTTGCCATGGACACAACATATGAAGGTGTGCCCAAGAGGCATGTTAGCAAGTCACCAAGATTCTGTGGAAAACTCGGAGAGCCGCATGTGTCACTCTTTCCTTGCGTGTACCCTGTTTGAGATAAAACCAAAGGAAGCTCAACCATTTTGGGGGTCTAAACCCATATGTTGATTCATGGGGGTTGATGAAAAGGTCCTTTACATGGGATGACCCTTGGTTGGAAAAGCAACAATATGATAATTCCAAAAGACATGGGCGAATTTACCCAGGGTCATCTGGGAGCCGAACGAAATATCACCCGACCGCACCAGGCCGTAAGTGTCCATGGCCCAGTAGGCCGCGAAGACCGCGCCGCGCCAGGAGCCCCAAGTGCCCAGGAGGCTGTTGCGAGTGATCCTTGGGACCGACCCCTTCCGATTTCTGCTGGGTCAACCAAAACATACCGTGGCTGGACGAAATCCGTTCGCACCGCGTGGAAACCATGGGGGTTTGCAGGGGTTTCTTGGGTGGCGCGAACGGATTTCGTCCATCCAGAGAATGAAAGTGAATTCTTTGGTGGTTAAAAGGCAAGTCAGAGACTAGTGAACACTAACAACACCACATGATCAGACAATTGGGCCTATTTTGCAACCTGCTTCTTTAGCAAGGATGCAAGGTGCCATGGTAATCCAGACATGTTCTCCGGTGTTGAAATGCGTACTCCAGGTCTTGGCATGCCCAAGTGGGGGATGAGCGGACAAGCATCTGATCAAGCTGCACGTGTAACCAGCTCAAGGCGGCAAAGGTTTCCAGAGCTGCATTCCAGCGTCCGGCACTCTCACAAACACTGGCACAAGTGCTGGTGACGATCTGGTTCTCTGCGAACTTCTTGGAACCTGAGCAAGCTGATTCCAGAAAGTTGGCCGAAAAGGCCAACTTCGCACCCTTGTGATTTTTTTCAGATGCTCGTAGCAACTTTAGTTAACCCCAAGGAGACTACCGGGGGTTCTTTATTTAAGTGCAGCCACACGCACGGTTCAGTCTTCATTGAAAAGGCTTCCCTCTAATTTGTGGTTTGGATTGGTGGCTTGCCGGTTAGGGGGAGGGTGCGTGGGGGAGCAGTTACCTACAGGAACTAGAGGGTTCAAATCCCCAAACCAGCAGCTAAGGGCTACCATTTCAGTTGGTGGTGTTGAATGGGCGTTGAAACAGGACAGGCCTCAGAGTCCTGACCCGTCCTCAAGCACCCCCTGGCGGCCGACCCTGCGCCCCCCATCAACCAATGACAAGATGACAACCAACAAACAAACAAACAAACAAACAAACAAACAAACAAACAAGCAAACACACAAACAAGCACAAAATCTAACTAACTAACTAACTAACTAACTAACGACGAAAGAAAGAAAGAAAGAAAGAAAGAAAGAAAGAAAGAAAGAAAGAAAGAAAGAAAGAAAGAAAGAAAGAAAGAAAGAAAGAAAGCAAGAAAGAAAGAAAGAAAGAAAGAAAGAAAGAAAGAAAGAAAGGAAGGAAGGAAGGAAGGAAAGGAAGGAAGGAAGGAAGGAAGGAAGGAAGGAAGGAAGGAAGGAAGGAAGGAAGGAAGGAAGGAAGGAAGGAAGGAAGGAAGGAAGGAAGGAAGAGAGAAATAAAGAAGGAAAGAAGGAAAGAAAGAAAGAAGGAAAGAAGGAAAGAAAGAAAGACAGAAAGAAAGATATAAAGAAATAAAGAAACAAACAAACAACCAAACAAACAACCAAACAAGCAACTAGACAGACAAACAACGCGTACAAATAGACAAGCATGCAACAAAAGCGGGCATTACACACAAACAACTACACACACAAGACTGAAAGAAAGAAATACTAAAATAAAGCACACAAGGAAAGACATAAACAAAACAAACATAAAAATAAACAAACAAACAAACAAACACATGGTCAAATGTGTAAGACCCCCCCCCACAAAATGAGTTTTCGTTTGGGCTTCCCTTCAAACCAACCCCAAAACCGTACCCCCCCCCAAAAAAAAAAAAAAGAAGAAGAAGAAAAGAAGCCCAAATAAAGCAACGGGACTAGGCGCTGAGGCATAGCGCGTGGCGCCAGGCGCGCACTCGTCTGCATGCGCTCAGGGCGGTGTTCAGGCTTATGGCGTCGGGCAACAGCCTCAGCTAACATGAGTCAGAATCAAGACCTGGTATTAACATGGTCTACCCAGAATCATCTCCTGAAAAGGCGGCCGCACCATTCACGCCCATTTATGGCTGGGCTTGCGCCTTAGCACTCTCCCATTCCCGGGTTTGATTGTGACTCACTTGGCTTCGTCTACCCTCCGCAAAAATGGATCCAAACAGGGATGGCAAACCATGTTCTTTTACAAGGGACTCTCTGGTGGGTTTTATGTAAGTGGACCTTAGGTTCTTTGTCCCTTATCAAAACGAGGTCTGATTTTGGTCTACAGTTTAGAAAACCTTCAGATATACACTAAGTTCATAAAAAGAAACCTGGTCATACTCGCTAATCTACGGCCCGTCTTGAATTCTTACGTACATACCCGCGATCATTGTACCCCACCTATAAGCCCCACGAGAATCACTCCAAAACCGGGATAGTCGTAGACCTCCTGCAAGCTCAATCCTGTTGCCCGCAGAAAATTCGTCATCGGACACAACAACAATTTTGGGTGCTTCCCCCAAAAATGGGGGACGCCCCTTCTTGCGTTGTTCAGGGAAGCAAAGGAACTCAGGTCTACCTAAATTCAACCACAATTTACCACCGCCAGCATCACAGCTCCCAGTTGTTTGTGTGTCTCCGGAAAAAACAGTGACCCTGCTTTTTGTTTGTGCTTTCTTGGAAAGGCAAAAGGAACCTCACTTCCTGAGTGGCTTGGCCAACAAAAAAGTTATTCACTTTCTAGTTTCCACTAACACTAACATGGTCTTCTCAAAAAGTATCAAATCCAGGAACTCGGGGAGTGAGGGGCCCACTGATTTCTGGTCCCAAGCCTTTGTGGCTGTTAACCCCTCTGCAACAAGTTTCACTTCTTGTGGGTTTCGCGGGAAACCCCTTCATTTCCCCAAAAGTTGAAGTCTAAAGATCCGGCCCAGCGGTCAAGACGCATGTTTGCCCAAGCACGTTGGCACCCTCTTCCCTCTGGGCCCGGCGCCCCCGTGCGCGCAGTGGGCTCAGGGCTTCCAGGACGTTGGGCCAGGCGCTGCCGCGCTCCGCAGCCTGCAGGGCGGCGTTGCAGCAGACCTGAGACGTCCCGAGGCTTCCCGCGCTACGTCCGATTTCCAGAACCCGCAACTAGGTCCTTCAGTAGAGAGGTCTTCGTAGGTCGGTTTTAGGGGACCCCTTTCCTAAAAAAAGGGTAAAAGCCCGAGCCCAAATGAAATCAACTAGCATGAAAAGGGCCGGGGAGGGGTCTTGGATCCCCCTTGAAAGTAAGACGGTGAGGTTTTAACTGCCATCTAGTGCATAAAAAATTGGTTTGGGAAAACAACTGTAGTGCAAAAATCAAGGGGGATGTTTAAACAGTGTTCCCGATGTTTCCTCTTCAGACATCACCCCACCAAACTTTAACCCAAACGAACCTCACTTTAAACTGGCAAACAGGTGACAAGGAAATGTAGATCAGAATTCAGGTGTCCCCAAGTAGCAAGTGGATGCTCAGTGGGTAAGTAAGTCGTTGGCCTAGTTGCTGGCTGGGTAGCGGCCAACCAAGATGGTCATCCCCACTCCGGAAATCTAAATAAGAAAAGGCGATCCTAACAGATGACTGCATGTAAAAACACTGTTTGACTGTTTCTCCCTCGCTGTAGCTGGTTCAATCGTTAGCTGGGAGTCACGATATCTGGTTTAATCGCGTGACTGTTTACGATGAGACTAGCTGGGATTCAATGACTCTGTCTCAAAATAGTGGGACCCAAGAAATTGTGACGGTTTTCCGCCAGCTCCAAAAGCGCTCACTTCCCAAGTGGATGGCTCAATCCAAGTCCAAACTTCAAACATGATCCAAACCCCCAAAAAAGTATACAAAAAGCCCAAAACGGAACTCACCAAAAGTGAGTTCAGTCGACCTTCCACCAAAACCCAGTTGAGGCCCCAACAAACCAGCGACTCGCTCCGATCCGCCGCGAGTTGCTATGTTCGGCTCCAGGCGCATGGAGGCCATCCGCGGAAGGAGCCCCAGGGCGCGTTCCCAAAGCCGCAGCCTGGATTCGGCGTTGCAACCCTCGGCGTGGCAAACAGCAGAACGTGTTTCTTTACATCCTGCTAAAAATGAGCGTAACCACCGCCAAAAATATGCTAACAACTCGACGGTTTTGCAAAAAAGGAACACATCTAACGGTTTTGGCAGCCTACCAAAGATGAGCAGAACCACACAAAATATTGTAACACCTCAACGTTGTTTTTTGGAAAGCCGCCATTTTTTGGGGGGTACTCGCATTTTGAGACACCCATGCCTTGAACAATTCTAAACTAGGTGGTTGTTCACACCTCCCTTCATTGCTCCTGGCAAGTTGTTTGCGTTTGTCCATTTTGGCTCTGGTCATTTTTGGCAGGCTGCATTGGTTCCTTCTAGCCCGGTGGTTTAGTGGCTTCCGGATTTCCCGGTTTACCCGCACGAAACAAGGGCTCGAGTCCAAATCCAAACCACCGACCTGAACCAGGAATTTGGGGATACCAGCTTGTTTGGATCTGAGAAACCAACTTCTTGGACGGTCTGGAGGTGATCGCTAAATTACAGGATGGTTCTAATTGGCGGCTGACTGAGGGTGACCAATTCAACTAAATTGGTCATCCTTTTAAAACCAAAGGAATTAGGCAAGAACCCCTGTAAACCGTGAATCCTTGTACCCAGGCTTGCTAATCATTCAGAAAATCTAGGGGGACAAAGTGGCATTCACACAATTTGCAGCTTACGGGAGCCCTCTTAAGACCCATACCAATTCGCATGCATCTCACTTCTCGCAAAAAAGCTCATGTTCTATCGTCGTTCATACTTCATGCATTCATGCAATCGTTCTCAACTTCCGTGGTGAACATATCTGCAAACATTACCGTAGTTCCAGAGCCAAGAAAAAACCAAAGTACCAGACATACATCATGGTAAGCTTGCTTGTGCTATATACCCGCGAATCGGTGATCTCTCCATATAGGCAGACATGAACCCTCTGACAGCCCCTTGGTAACGCAGAGACTGGGCTTGCTGGTGCTCAGCATAGAATGAGAAATGGCATGACCCCCATAAACCATCCCCGATTTGGTCTTGTTTCAGGGAATCCCCGGGTTCATTCCCGCATTCCCTGCCTATCGCACCAGCAAGTAGGAGTCCCAAAGTCATTTCTCGGCTCATTTAAGATGTTCTGGACCCGGCAGCCTGTCGCAGGCGGCGATCGCGGCGCTGAAGTGGAAAGCGCTGAGGATCACGCCGCTCTGCTGAAGAGCGGCCTCGGATCAATCGGGATAACCTCTAATTTCTGTCTCTGAAACGGGATTGTTCCTGTTGCCTTCCGTTCAGACCGGCACCTTTTTGGGACACAACTGACTCAAATAAACAAAAAAGTCAGCTCCTGACATAAAGGACCCCCCCTTGAACCTAAGCTTCTCCCGAACCATCAAACGAGTTGAACCCCAAGAAAGGTGAATTCCAAAAGGGTCCGTGCACCAACCTAGTTTTGGCGTGGTACATTATGCCCTCTGTGTAGTCCAACTTGGATGTGTCATGGGAGAGATTCCCGCCTTCTGCCCTTGTCAACCATAGGGATGATGATGGTCAATCCATGGCAAAACTTGGAGAATTTGAAACACAAATCGATTCAGCCATTCGTCAGAAGCCGTAGTCATGCCCACCTGAATTAAGGCAATGAATCCTCGGCCTTCAGAATATGAGCTCAAAATGGAAAGGTGTTTGACCTGGCCAGATCTAAAATGCAACGACTCGAGGGGTTGACTCTTTCCCATTCTGTTCGGCAATGGAGAGTTTTCTCTAGTTCTCAAGGTTGAGCCAACCCTTGTTTAAGCATGCTTGAACAACTACTTATTAAATTTTGGCTTCCCAAAGGGCGACACCAGCAATTCTTGCGGTGGGCAGTTGACCAAGAATGGTATGCCAATAGGCCCAGTAGGGGCAAACAAATCGGTCGAATTGCTCAAGTGAGTACTTTCGTCTGCAGCCATGATCTGTCGCACTGCTCCTGTTCGGAGGAAGGAACACGTCAACCTGAAAATTTGTCAAAGTTGAACACCCAAGCCCTTTGCGGGTGCTCAAGTGCCATGGCTGAAAGGATCACAATCTGCAGGATTTTGGTAGAAGCTACCCAGGCATGGGAAGAGGTGAGATCCGGCAAAAGCTTTGCTCGAGTCAGAAGTCGCTGGAAGGGGATTTCCCGATTTTCCTTCGCAACATCAAAAACTACCACTCCTTCGAAGCCATGCTGAGCCTGGGCCGACCATGGTCCAAATTGGATTCAACTGAAAATGCGGCGGATGGACGAGAGACCCTTGAATGATTTGATTCCCATGTAAATACCAGCGAAGAATGGCTTTAACCGTGGTTTCAAAGTGGGTCCTGCGCCACCTAAGAAACCCTTGAATGATTTGATCCCCATCCAAATACCAGCGAATTTTAACCGTGCTGTCAAAGTGGTTGAACGGATTTCGTCCATCCACAGTAGGTCGGGTCGCTGGTATGTGAGCCCGAGCGTTCAATGGACGTGGACAAAAGGCATGTTGAACAAGAGTAGGACTTCCATTCCTGTCCGAAGGGCAAGTCCTGTGGATGGAAAAGCTCCACCATTCAGTAAGTGGTTTCCCCATGTCTATCCCGCACAGGGCGACCTCACGGGAGCCCGCCCAAATCCAAGTCCCAGACCCCAAGTCCGAGACGTTGTCCCCAAGTTGTGGATCCCTTTGGGACAAGATCCCACATCCCGTGCTGAAGAATGCGTCATTCCTTTCCCTGGAAACCATGGAGCTTGCAAAAGCTAAAACAAAGCCCATGTGGCCATCTGTTGCATAGCCTATCCCATTTTGGGATGGATGAACATCCAGTTGCCACCGATTTTGATGCTCACCAGGGGTTTCCTGGGCTTTGACAACAGCCATGTACAAACAGACAGGGTGCCAGTACCTCATCCACTGGCACGCCATTCGCCTTGGGATCCCGCAGCACCACTTGCGAGCTCAATGGAGAGACGACGGTGGACACTTTTCACGGTACCAACATTCTGGTTTGGGTGTGATGATGTTCTTCTTGTTCCACTAAATTGTATGCAAGATGTGGTTTCCGAAAAGGTTCTCTTGACTCCCTGGTAAATGGGAGGTTAAAAATCACTGGGGAGGTTGAACTGGCTTCCCAACGGGCCAAACCAAAGATTTCAAAGCATTGCGCGGCCCAAAGAAAGCGGTCTAGAGCAAAAGAAGGTGGGTGCAAGGTGGGAAGGAATCCCAGAGACCACCCCCGGCTGGCCCTAAATAGGCACGCCAAGGTCGTAGAGTGAATAAGCGGTATTGAGGCAAAATAAGGCCTTTGGGATCCTTGGGGAGTGGCTCGGCCTTTGGTCTCTTTGCACAAGTGAGGCTCGGGCAGGAAAATCGAGGAAACCTTCCAAAAGACAGCAAAACGGCAAAACTGCAGGTTAAGTCCGGCAGGAGCAAATCAATGTACTAGGGCTTCGACCTTTTTTTGTTGGCCTTGTTCTGCTTTGCAATCTGCGGGGCATCCGGCGAAAGGGAATAGGGACCACAAATTGGAACATACTGCGGATGGACAAATCCTGCACCACCTAAGAAACCCTGGAATGATTCGATTCCCCTGCACATGACAGCAAAGAATGGTTTCAACCATGGTTTCCAAGTGGTGCGAAATGGATTCTGTCCATCAGTAGGGAACAGTCTGCAGCTCTCGGGTCATTTTTCATCTCCGCCGTCACAAGAAGGACCAGCTTCGTCTTCTGCGCCTTAAGGGCTCCGCTGCCAGAACCGGCACGGCCTCGGAGTTCGAAGGGGCATGGGCTTTCTCAGATTCCGCGGGTTCCGATCGAGTGGATGGACCAAACTGATACCAGCCACTAAATATACTGAAATGGTCCAAACCCTTCCAAACCCAAAAAGTGGCGAAAGTCCAGGAACTCGGGGAGTGTGGATTTGGGCTCAATTGTTGCTTATTTGATTGCCACCACGGTCGGGTCAAAATGTACAGAGTTCAGGAACCAGGGAGGTTTGTCGGAGTAAAAGCTCCTTTTGCAAATCGTCTGCCCAAGGGTTGGTCACTGTTTTGAGGGCCGGAGCTAATTACTTTGTTCAAGGGCATCTTTAAGCGCTCCCCCCGCAACTTGTTGAGGAGTCTGCTTTGTGGGGGACCCCCTTTTGGGCTCCCTGGTTGCGAGGGAAACCATTGTCCGTCGGAGTAGCGACTGACCAACTAGATAGGCCAAGGCTTAAAAAAACCCAGGGCAAGCAAAAACAATTTCGCCAGAAAAACTCAGTACAAGCAAAAACAAATTCGCCAGATCAAGAGGCAAAGTTAGTGGGAAAAAACTCATCTCCACCCCACCGCATAGGTGAAAGTGCAAGCAAACACGGGAGGTGACAGGAGTTAACACTGCCAAGCTGAGGGAGCACCATGGTTGGTTCACCCTGGTTCAACTTAGTCACCAGAAACCTCCTGAACCTTCCTTAACCGACTTGCAAGGATTCATCCAAGAAAGTCTTTAAAAGGATTCGGGTCCTTTTCACCGGCAGGTAGACATGTGTGTTTTCAACAGGTCCCCCAGGAACCCCCTCGGAACATCCAAAAGAAAGGCGTTAAGCTAGCGGCCCGTGTCAGAGTTGCTAAGAGCCACCACGAAGTCTGACCCTTGCAGAAACCAAACCAAGGGGTGTTGATCACGAAGCCCTGACAGAAAACCCGACTTGCACCACAGCAAAAATCTACATACCTTGGTTGACGTTGGAAGGGGATCAAATTTGTACATTTTAGCAGTTAAGTGGGGATTTCCCACTAAACCACAAAAAACAGAAATATAAAATGTTTCCCAACAACAACCATGACCCACTCAAAGAACCTATCTACTGCACTGAGGTGACCTACCAGCCACGAAAAAACTGACCCTCCCTCCAGCGAGCGAGCGTCAACCGGCGGCGCCTGGGCAGACATGAGCTCCACCACTTTGCCCCCAGAGCCCTTCCAGCTTCCTGGCTCCCCCATCCGCAGGCAGTAGCCTGCGAGAAAACCGCTGGCTCGTGTCAACCTCGCCCTATCCATTTAGACATGCAATACACACACACGTGAAAAATATAAGGGAGATAGAACACACAATCGCGCGAACACAAACGTAGACATGAAAACAACAAATAATAGACAGACATATTCATGGATATGTAGAAAATCAGATAGACAGATATTTAGATAGATAGATGGATAGATAGATCGATAGATAGATAGATAGATAGATGGATAGATACATAGACAAATCGATCGATCTATGGATAGATAGATGGATAGATAGATAGATACATAGGTAAATAAATACACAAATAGATACACACACACACACACACACACACACGCACGCACGCACGCACGCACGCACGCACGCACGCACGCATACATATGTATATGTAATGCGTGCGTGGGTGGCTTAAAGGTGGTCGGTATGTTGCTTCCCCCCCACCAATCACAGGACCTGAAAACAAAAAGGTGTCATTAGTTTTACATGCACGGCACATTCCCTCAAAAGTCAGCCTTCTTTCGAATAACGTGCATGCCGCGAATCGAACTGCAAACCGCGAACCGAACCGGAACCGAACCGCTCCACCACAAATTGGTCCGACACGTGCGAACCGCGAACCGGAACCACGAACCGGAATCAGCACAAAAACCCGACAGAAAGGCCAAAGCGTTGAGACGGGGAAGCGTGGAGCCAGGCGAGTGTGGAGCTGGGAAGCATGGAGCCGGGATGAGCCGGGGAGGTGTGGAGCCAGGTGAGCCGGGAAAGTGTGGAGCCAGGTGCGTGTGGAGCTTGGAAGCGTGGAGCCGCGGAAGCGTGGAGCCGGACGAGTGCCGGGAAGTGTGGAGCCGGGGAAGGGTGGAGCTGGGGATGCGTGGGGACAGGGAAGCGTGGAAGGAATGCGCTGAGCTGGGAATGGCACCTCACACCTGGAAGCGTGATGCAAATCATTAGCCGAGGAAGCGTGGAGAAAAACCTTTCCGAACCGAACCGGATCGGGAGCGAACCGAAACGAACCGGAAGAATGATTTCTGGACGAATCGAAACGAAATATTGGCATGCACATGTGTGGCGGATAGCTAGTTTGCATGCTGCCAAGCTGAAGCACATCTCCCATTCGGAACCTTGACCAAACCTGATTGTCATGAGAAAGCCCTTTCGACACGCAAGTTCCAGTTCAAAACAATGGTACGTTCACTCATGACCTCGTGATTGAATGAGGCGTCTCAAGGTCATCCCACTAAGAGTTGAGTGCTTGCACGGCTCTAAGGGAAGCCAAGGGTGAGCCGAGCCGGCCCTCTGGTCGATGGCCAAACCAGGTTGTGGAATCATCTAAAATTGCCAAGTGGTTTTGAGCACTGCTCAACTGTACCAATCGTGCAAAGCACGAATGGCATGCTCCTAGACAACCTCGGTGGGCAGGCAGCCATGAGTCACGTCTATGTGTGTTAACCTGTGCAGCTTATTTTTTCTCAGTTTGTTTCAAGGGAGAAATTCCGTGCTCATAACACAAGGTTTGACGTTTCATCCTATTCAGACTTAGTGGTTGGTTGAACCGCTATGTCAGGCACGGCTCCATGATTGTCCGCAAAAAGCTGACAAAGCCAACCCCCTGAACATAGAAATCCAATCCTTTCCCGCCCCTCGCTTTATGTCCCCACTGCCCGGAAGAAACAAGTTCAAACGTTTCATTCTTGCCCAGCCAGAGAAGCGGTTTCTCTTTCCACACCCTGAGGCCGAGTCGCCCTTCTTGCCTCCCTTGTCAAGGCACACTCCCTGACCTTGGTGCCCCACTGGCTTCTCTTCGGTCGGGGCGGCATCGAGTTGCTGCGGCGACTGACAACGCAATGGCCGAGTCATAAAGGACGGCTGCTGATGGGTTGAATTTGGGAATATGTCTAGAACTCATTGGAGCAAATAGTTCTTGAGCCGCAAGATCTTATGATGGCCCAACAGCTCAGCACTATTGGGTTGCGGTGGCTCCCGTTGCTATGGCTCCCAATCAGTACAAGAGATTCCCACTTGCCACCAGTCATGCTGGTTGAAAAGGACCTGTCCTTTCAGGGCTGACCATGTTCGCTCGGGAACCTACCAAGGGTGAAGGATTTGTGGCCACCATGCGTGTCTCATGGTGCTCCAGTGCTCCCCGTTGACTTTCATAGCCCAGCAGAAAAACGCGGGACCCGGAATATGAATTAATTGAAGAGTTAATTTCTGAGAAAGAACAAAACGAGCTCTCGGAGTATAACCCGCTGTCACAAATAATTAACCCTGTCATGGAAAGTGTAATTTCCCCTGAAAGCTTTGAGATTTGAAGGGTCAATGGCCGCGAAAGCTTCTTTGGGCAGACTTGACACGAATTGGCGCACAGAACCTACGTCTGTTTGCCCGCCGTAGCGCGGTCGATGTGTTGTTACATTGTTGCAAGAAGGCCCAAAGCTAATACAAAATGAAACTCTGCGGGAGGGCTTCTTTGGAAAACACCCGAAGGAACCTGTGGGAAACGCGTGGGAAACGCGTGGGAAACGCGTGGGAAACGCGTGAAAGTGTGGGAAACCGGTGGGAAAGCAGGGCGAATCAGCAGAAATAAGGGGAAACTCAGGGGACCCGCGAAACAACTGGGAAATTTGGCAACGTGCCACCCTGGATTGCCTTCTGCAAGAGTGCAGGGATGCAACCAAATGAGATTCTGCAAGAAACGAGCTGTGCACTTCTCGATTTCTGCATGCTTGCGCAGGGGCCATACTAATCTTCTCTGTATCAGACCCAATCTGGTTGGATGATCGCAGTGCGTGGATGGGCTTCTGCTCATTTCGCAAGGCTCGCAGTTCATAGCGCAAAGGGGGGAAGCCACAAAAGCTCGCTGAAGCCGGCCGGCTTGAGCAGTTCTAAACGACATGCGCCTTCAAATGTCAACCAAAATCCAAACGCAGCGAGCGCTGAAAAACCGCTGGCGCCGAGGCGCAATCTTTGCAGCTATCTGCCGGAATCACGAAGCGGTCCGTGCACTTGAGGCCCTTGGAAGACTTGCAGCACTCTTGCCAGCGGTCCTGCACGGAAGGATTCTCTAATCCGAGATCTGTTGGTTAATGATTTAAAACCTTGACTATGAAGTTTGGTGCCGTGCCTAAATAAAACAATGCCGCCTAGGGCATGTTCTTCTGTCTGCCTGGAGGCCTGAATGCCTGAATGCCTGAACTCCTGCCTGCCTGCCTGCCTGCCTGCCTGCCTGCCTGCCTGCCTGCCCGCCTGCCTGTTTCTGTCAGTCTCTTTCTCGGTCTCTGTCACTCTCTCTCCTTCTCTCTTTCTCAATCTCTGTTTCTGTCTCTGTATGTGTATGTGTCTACGCCTGTGTCTATGCCTGTGTCTGTGTGTATGTGTCTATGCGTGTGTCTGGGAGTATGTGTCTGTGTGTCAATGGCTGTCCGTCGCTGTCAATCGCTGGCAGTCTCTGTCAGTCTGTCAGTCAACGACAGTCTCTGTCACTGGCTCTCCCTCTCTCTCTCTCTCTCTGTGCCTGTCGATATCTGTGTCTTTGTCTGTGTCGGTGTTTGCGCCCTTGTCTGTGTGCTGTGGGTGCGTGTGTGTGTGTGTGTGGGTGCGTGCGTGCGTGCGTGCGTGCGTGCGTGCGTGCGTGCCTGCGTGCCTGCGTGCCTGCGTGCCTGCGTGCGTGCGTGCGTGCGCGCGCGCGCGTGTGTGCGTGCGTGCGTGCGTGCGTGCGTGCGTGCGTGCGTGCGTGGGTGGGTGGGTGGGTGGGTGGGTGGGTGTGTGTGTGTGTGTGTGTTTGTGTTTGTGTTTGTGTTTGTGTTTGTGTTTGTGTTTGTGTTTGTGTGTGTGTGTCGTGTCTGGGTCTATGTCTGTGTCTGTGTCTGTCTGTGTGCCTATCAGTCTGCCGGCTTGTGCGTTTGACTGTCTCAGCGTAGTACATGTCCGTTCCGTTGTTTCGGGTGTTTGTTGTTTGATTGCTTGTTGCTTTCTTGTGTGTATGTTGGTTTGTTGGTTTGTTTGTGTGAATACGTGTTTTGTATGTGTGTGACGTTGTGTGGTTGAGTCCTTGTGTACATTGTGTTTGTTTGTTTTGATTGTTTGATTGTTTGTTTGTTTGCTTGCTTGCTTGCTTGCTCGGTTTTGTTTGTTTGTTAGTCAGTTTCATTATGTGTCTGCTTGTTTGATTGTTTGATTGATTGATTTTTTGGCTGCTTGTTTTGATTGATTGACTGACTGATTGATTGAATGATTGATTGATTGATTGATTGACTGATTGATCGATTGATTTACTGATTGTTTGTTTGGCTGCTTGTTTGTGTGTTTGTTGGTTGGTTGGTTGGCTGGCTGGCCGGCTGGCTGGCTTGCTTCTTTCTTTGTGTTTTCTCTCTGTTCGTTTTATCTTTCTGACTATTTGTTTACTGCTTGTTTTGTTGCTTGCTTGCTTGCTTGCTTGCTTGTTTGTTTGTTTGTTTGTTTGTTTGTTGGTTGGTTGTTGGTTGGTTGCGTGGTTGCGTGGTGTGATTGTTTGGTTTGTGTGTTTGCTTCCTTGCTTCCACCAATTCAGCCACCTGACAAAAACATATGTCACTTAGCCACCATATCATTTACCCTCCCACTAGCATAACATCTGTGGGAAGGGGAACCTGGAAATTTATTTCTGGTAGACCGGGTCCCTGTCAGGTGCCATGTTAGTGGCACTGAGGGTAATCCTCTCCCCCTAATTTAATGGGGCTGGATTTAAATACGGGCAGGACAATGCCTACTCTAAAATTGGATTAGTATTGGCTATTCTAAAAGTAGTATTCCCGGATTTGGGACTTTGGAAACAATCATTTATTAGGGAGATCTTTATTAACAGGGGGCACGGATTGAAGAGCCCTCCCCGCCCGCCGCCTGTGAGTCAATGATCGGCCGGTGGACCCAGATCCGCCCCGAGCAGAAGCCGACATCCTCCACCTCGTCGGCATTGATCACCTGACCAGCCCACCCACACCTAAAACTCAGGCCAAACACCTCAAACCAACACCCAAAACGCCTAAAACCAAAACCTGGCACCTAAAACACCTGAAACACCCTAGAAAAAGCCAACACCTAAAACCAAACCCTGGCCAAGTCTGATAGAGGGGATTCTGGCATCAAAATTCAAGGAAAGCCCTGCTTCAGGCAAAAAGACAAATGACATGCCTGTGGATCCCCAAACCTCCCAACCCTTGGTCTCCGGGCCAAATTTGCGACCATAAGCCCAAGCAGTATCTCCTTGAAAACTGGTCCCAAGTCTCCTCCATTAACCTGAAAGGCCCTAAACCTAGGATTGGCCGTTCGAATGGCAACACACCAACAGGAAGCCACAAAAAGTCTAGTTGGGGAAAACCTGGCTTGTGTCTGTTTGCTTTAGCCAAGTCGCCGTTTGGGAAGACAGGAAGGGTCAACAAAAACCCTGACCCAACCTAAACCACACAAAGCCAGCATTGGCACAAAGCACAGATCCGTGAGAGCCTCAAGGGATCTGTTGAATTGTGCTCTTTTGATGGGGGGTGTCGTTTTCAGGCTATCCTGATCGCAAATGTTTGAATTGGAAACTGAAAGGAATCCACCCATCTCAGAGAACCGGCCCCAAAAAAGCCTCCCAACCCAACTAGGGGCCAGGGCCCCACTCGCACAAATCCTCGTTCGCAGGTCACTCCGGGGGGATGAGAACATAAACGCAAACGAAACGAAGCTGAGAAGGAGTCTCCGAATGCCCGTCCAATCTGCTGTCTGCAAGGGTTTGGTCAGGCACCAGGCCCTGCAAGCAACCAAGGCAAGTAAAATTAGCAAGGCCATCTAGTTCTGGGTTGACATGGGTTGACTAAAGCAGACCAAGATTCGATTTGAAGGTCGAATCAAAAGGTCGTGAGCCCTCCAATTAGCAGGACAAATTACTCTCTGTCACAAAGCTAAAGCCAGGAATTTCCAAGTAAGGACCTTCATCATAGGTGAGCCCCATTCACCCTCGACCGGCGAGCGCATGACTTGGGCAGATTTGGGCCGTGCGAAACAGCACGGAGTTCGGGCCTGGGCTGCGATGTCTGTGCACTCTTCGCGGAATTGCTTCGCCTAGCGACGAAACTTGGGCCTGATATCTTGCCTCGCCGGCACCCTGAAGGACTAATTACTCAGTTGATCAAAGGACCTGGAAATAGCAGGTTAGCCATTTGGGGCCATGACCAAAAAACAACAAACAGAAACCCAAAAGCTCAAAAGGTCGGCTTTGGGCAAGTGAGCAAAACCCTGGATCTTCTCGAAACCCAGGAAGGCCAGGAAATGCATTTGGATCTAAGCTACATGGTGACACGGAGGTGACTTGGGAAACGACCGCCCGTTTTGCGAGCTCCCCTCCGCCGAAAAGAAGCCTTCAACGTCGGCCGCTCGAGGTGTCATTCCAAACCCACGGAAAGGCTAGCTATGTCATGCCATGGTAGTCGGTGATCTGTCTGGAAACAAGTTGTGTCCCCAATCAACATGCACGTGTGTTTCTCAACAGTGACCCCAAATCAGGTGATTGGTTTGCAACTCCCATACCGAAGTCCTCCGTGTCTACCTCGCCCAGGACCTGCATGGACTATGACAGCACAATCTTTAGGAAACAAACGAAAGAAAACCAACAGGTCAGATCTTTGGTCACCCTACACGCGTTCGAACAAATGGGATCTAGGATGCTAGACACGTGGTTCTTACTCAGTCGAAGAAGAAAACACTTCGCCCCATTTCCTGCGCTGATCCTTTTTGCATCTGCGGATAAGGCACGAGGTCCCTACTTGGATGTTCAGCCCAGTTGCTAGGTGGTTAGATTCACCTAGGGTACAAACCTAGAACAGGGCAACCTGTTATTCAGAGAGCAAATGCCTGTTGGGTTAGTACAGGGTTTCTTTGCACGTGCCCCTCCAATATCACCTCAGCAAAAGCACCAACTCTTATAAGGCCGAAAGGGTGATGCTTGTCAACAAAAGATCCGCGGGCCGCTCCAAGGGTGGGCGATTTGTGATTGCGCTGTGCCAGTTGTCTACAAGGAGGGCAAGCAATTACACACGTCAAGCTGTCCTGGCAAGCAAATACATACACATATGAACTTTTGACCAAACCTGGAACCAAACCACCTTAAGCTTGCTCTTCTGATCCGGAGCTTAACCTCGTGGTTTAGCTAAGCTGCGCAACCGAAATTCCGGAGGCGGCCGGAGCCCGGCGCCTGCTTGCCCATGGGAAAGTTCAGCTCTCCCAGGAACTTGGAGGCGTCGTGGGATAGGGCGCCTATGAAGCGGAAGAGGGCTTCGGAGTCTCTCCGGATATAAAGGGTATCCTCAAAAATGACAAACTGTATGCGAAACTGAAACCGAACCAAAAAAGGTATCCTCAAAAAAAGTGACAAACCCATGTGCCCTTCTGCCAGGTGAGACCCAAAGATTTTCGGGGGCGGACAATGGAGGATCTGGTTCCTCCATTCAAAGCCTTGGGAGCTTAGGGGTTCTTAAAAGAGCTCTGAGGGGTATCATGTGATGGGATGCCCTAAGAAAGTGAGGCTCTAATTTGGGGAGCCAGGGGCAGGGGGTGTTAAGTTTAGGGGGAGCTGGGGGGGGGGGGATTGAACCCAATAATTAGTCATGACCACGCTGACCACGCCTGAAGGCTGAAAATCGAAGGATCGATGGCGCACACCCTCGCCCCAATCTGTCCAGACTTAACATAAAGAGCCAAATATATAGCCGATATTAGCCGATAGCCAATCTGCCCAGACTTAACCCTCTTGATTTCCAGACTTATGAAAAAGAAACCAAGGGCCAACAAGCCGGAGCCTTGGGCCTCAACTTGCACTTGCGCACGCTGGCCTTCACTGAACTTATGATGTGAAGGGAAACCATCCAAGACCAGAGCAAGAAAGGAAACCCTCAAAAGGAAACCCTACTTGCATTCCCCCCTTCATATAGCGAAACCGATGAAGAATCGGAAAGAAAAAGAGGCCGCTCTTTGATGGATAAACCGAGGCGGTCTTCATGGACCAGGAGCCCTATGCAGGGGGGATGCTTAGGTCTGGAAGCCAAGGGCGCCAAGGGTGCCAAGCGCCCAGAGCTCCAAGCCCGTGAAACTTGTTTAAACAAAGGAAGACGGGGAACGTGATGTGTCAAGTTCCTTGGTTGGAGTAGAGAGGGTGTTGACTGGGTGTTGACTGGGTGTTGGAACAAATGGCGCTTGCACACTTTGATTGAAACATGGATGCCAAGGGCCGGAAGCGACAAACAACCACATGGGCTCCTTCCTGAATGTTCAGGGGAATCCTCCTGATTCCGCAGCGATGGGGTGTCCAAATTCCACTTTCCCAGTCATGAGCAGGTGTTTCATGAAGCTATGAATCTGCACCAAGAACGTCAGTTCTCAATGTTTTTGAGGCCCTCGAAAATGGCCTTCTTTCAGGAATCTCGTGAGGGATCCTCATTTTGAGGCCCAAGCTCGCTTTCGCATCACGCCCCTTCCGTGAGCTCGCCATTTGGAAACGGGACCGGAAACCATGGGCCAAAGCCCTTCCCAAGTCCACTGGTAAGGGCAAGCTGTCCCTCGGCAGACACATGTGACCCTCTCTAAGCATAGGGGCTAGAGAAAAGCTTACCCTGAAAATTCCCCTCAGTTTTCAGCAGGGTTCCACCTGAGTGCCCCCCCCCACTAGCAACAAAAAGGCTGGCCGTTTGGATTTCCCATAAGGGGAGCCTCAGTTCAACGCCCCTGGCGGAAGGAAACCCTTTTTGGGGTGGACCCGGTTTGGGAAGCTTCTGAACAGCTTGACCGAAACCTCAACCGACTTCGCTGGGGCCTTGCGGCTGGAACGGCATGGGAGGCCGGCGATGAAGCGACTTCTGCAGCAAGCCGAACTCGGTCAACGCATCTGTTGTCCTTGGCTGCAACATGCCATCAGCTTGCCTCTAATGTGTGGTTTTGGACGGGAAGTTTGGAAGATTGAATTGGGGTGACCTGATACCAGAATTCAAGGGTTGCTTACATCTGTCCACACCCATGGCCATATTGGGCCCTTTTTCGGGGCTGGTTCTCCAAAACTACATAAGTACTGGTTAATTAACATGTTAGCCAGGGGTTCATACCAGGTATCCCAGCCTTACGAGCATGTTTTATAATAAACGCCCGATGTCAATCTGGAATTGGGTACTGTGCACCAAACTATGTTAGTGGGATATTTCTGCAAGTTCTACTATAACTTCCAAAAACAAAGCAGGCCATACCCGTGACTACGTTGTCGCCGCAAAGGGGCGGGGGGGGGGGGGACGATTGTTGCAGCCAGGCGTCTCCTTCAACCCCTCCACCTCCTTCTTCTGCGCCCTTTCCGCTGCGCGCCTCCGGCACTCTGGGGACACCTGCGCGAAGCGCGAAAATCGCCCTGGGGGGGGGCTTCATCTAACCCAGGTCGGGTACCCTCCCATGTGGAAGTGTAGCTAGGTTTGTTGGATGCCTGGGTTGTTCCAAGGGGCCGAATCAGAATCCATAACTCCGTGACTGGCATTTTTCTCAATGAGGCTGTCACCCAGCTACCGTTGGGCTCCAGACCGGAGCCTTTTCAGGGCTGCAAACGTCCCAAGCCCGAAGTCTCAGGACGAAATCAGGTGCCTCCGGATAACTTGCAAATGGGATTGTTCCCGTCAAAACGCACCTACATGGGAACCTTGGAATGCGCCAGGAAAATATACACCATGGGCCGTTCAGGAGAAGGTCATACCACTGTAAGGGCTAGGCGGGTGTTGCCAGTGCAACTCAATGGCCGTACTATAAAGGAACCATTCCCTAAGCGTGACGGACTTCACGGAATGAACCGGGGTGAAATTTGGCACCTCATAGGGTATGGATGTCAGGATGCATGGAAGCCGAGGTTGGCTCTTAGCGCACTGAGGCCAAGGTTGCTCAGAGTCCAAGGGACTCAAAGTGCTGGCGATACTGTGGATGGTTGCGAAATCCATTTTGCACCACCTAAGAAACCCTGGAATGATTCGATTCCCCCGTAAAAATACCAACAAACGATGGCTTCAACCATGGATTCCAAGTGGTGCAGGACTCTGTCCATCCAAAGCATGAAAGCATGGTGATGAGGATTCGCATCCTAGGAAACATATCGCTTTCTGTAAGGCCTTGATGGTCCTGATTTTCATGTCCTTTTGAGGCCCCAAACGGCAGCTTGGGGGTGTGGTAAGGGGAATCCCGGGACTTTTCGCTGCAAGTCCCAGGACCCTTGGGGAGATTCCCGTTGCGAAAGGTGGAGCCTGATTCTGTAGGGGCAGTGCTTGAAAAGAAGGATGGGCGAAGATAATGGGGACTCAAGCCGCATGCTCAAATGAAAACGTGCCTTGATAATTACTCGCATCCTGATGTTCATTTGCCACTAAAATGGTCTTCCCAAAAAAGAATAAAGTCCAGGAACTCAGGAAGTGAGGATAGTTGCAGCAAATAGGCGCCATGGAGTGGTGGCTGTCTGGGGTCCCGGGAAAGGGCCAAGTTGCGTGGCCAATTGACTGGGGCGGATGCCCCCGATTCCATTTACTGCGTCTTCCCCCTGACAAGGGGAGGCTCAAGCACTACATCGAATTGCAGGAATCTCCCCCGTCCCAATTCCATGACCGCGGAAAGCGCCTCAATCAACACAACAACCATCCACTGGGCTGTCAAACTTAGGGACCCTTTGTGGTATCCCAGTGAAAAAAGGCGGCACTTGCGGCGCCACTTGCGGCTTTTTTAGGGGTGCCATGGTCTCAGACCTTCGCCCTCCCAGCCACGCCTTGAGGCAAACCCAGCCATCCTCCTGCCAGCTCGGCGCCTTCTGCAGGACCTCCTTCCAGCCCTTCTTGCCTTTTTCCACCTCCTTCAGCGCCTTCCTAGCTGAAAAAACGACTGGGAGGAAACCCCCAAAAAAAACCGAAAGAAACCCAAACAAGGTGAAGGCAAAGCGGAAGTGAAGCATTTTCAGTCTCCCAAACGACCCTTCCAGAAAAGCACTTTCCGCCTTGGAGGGCTCAGTGCCGCAACTTGGGAAGCATGATCGCATAGATCCAATCCACTCCGGGAACCGTCGGGGATTTGCGCAACCGGGGACACATTTGTGCCATCCTCACCCATAGATCACTTGAAGTTCAGCCCACCCCACCTCATCCCCGTGCCCTCACTTGCACCCGCTAGGGGGCTGAGGGGGGGCACTTGGAAAAGGATCCCTGCTTCAAGGCACGCCGTCCTCCTATACCATGCATTCCCTACTCACATCCTGAGTGGACCAGCTAACAAACAGATCTAAACTGAATCTAGTCAGCCCAAAAGTAGTTGACGTGCAACTCAGGGAAGTGAGGCTATGGGATCTTGCGCGGCCGAAGCCTCAAACTCAGAAGTGGAGGGCCGTCAGGTCGCTATCTTGGATATCTTGTTTCAATTGGGGGCCCTCTGATAACTTGACCCATCAAACATTTTGGAGGGTGCTCACCAATCATCATGCTTACTGTCCGCTTAACTCGGGTTCGGAACACATTCTGTAAAGGACTGGACATTCCCCGCACACATTCGTTCAACCAGCAGTGGTTGGCCCCAGTTACAAGACTTTACAGGGGGGTTGAAAGGTGACGGAATCGCTTGTCTGATCCGACCCCCAGTGGAATCGCTCGTTGTAATTAGATTGATGGCCTTCACCAAATCGCAGAGTCATTCTGGTCTATCCTAAGGGTAGGGGGCCCCCAACTCCATTTATCTGGTTTTCCAGTCCTCCCATTAGAGGGAATGGAAGCATCAATGGAATTTCAGGGGGTTCACCCCGCCCTGCCCCAATTCCATTTGTAAGGGGAGGGGATGGTGGATATAAAGGGAAACCAAGAGGACACCAACAAGGCCTCGCAAAAGGGCCCCAGAAGACAACGTTTCTATGTTCAGCAATCTTTTGCTGGGCTCTTCCTTATGTACTCTGCTTTTCGTTTCCTCCTTCTGGCTCGTCTTAGCTTATTGCACTCGACTTGGGCCTCGGCCACCCGAAAATCGAAAACAAGTAAACAACACATGTGCCAGGTCTCTCGAAGTGCTGGTAGTACTGAGTCTTCCCAGTTTTGGGATGGTAGCAGACTACCTCGCAGCGATAGTCCGCGATGCACTTGTCTCTCGCCTCATCGAGGCCTGTCAAAACCATCACATCCCAAGTGCTTCTCCACCCAAAACATGGGGCCTGTTTGGGGGGTTAGTATTTCTATGACGGGAAACCCACCAAGCAAAGGGAACAACGAACACACTAGACCCTCCATATATATATATATATTATTGCCCTTGAAATCTAAAAAGGAACTTGTATGGGAAGGGTGCTTTAGCGGAAATACCCCCTGCCTTAGTGGCACGCCCTCCCGCCCCCGATGCTTCCATGCTCGGTGAATCTTTGCTGGATGACGCTCGCTTCCAGATTTGCTCACGTTTGCCTCTCCAATCGAAGATCCGACACATACAACAAAACAAGCAACTTTAAGACGATGTCCACTACCCCCAAACCACTCTCTCCTCTAGATACCTTGCCACAGAACCTTTTCTATCCTGGCTCATGCTAGTGGCTTCAGTCTGCTTGGAAAGGCCCCCCGCAAAACACAAATCAAGGACTCCAACGTCCGGCCCTTTCGTGAAGTGCCCTGTTTGCCAAAATTTCAACCCTAACTTCAACCTGGCCAGAATGAAGCTGGGAGGGTTGGGGAGGGGATTGTTTCACCACTGAGCTCCCGTGTCAACTTGCAACGAACAATCCAAGGGCTCCATGTATCATTCCCTAAAACAAAACCCTAACTTCCCTGATAAAGACCGTCTGGAAGAGGGTTCCACGGGGGTGGGGAGGGGCATCGCTGTTTTTGGAGACGAAACCAGTATTGGATCAATAGGAAACCAATACTATGCCACGCCAATCCTAGCCAAATCAGCTGTAGTCCCAAACGGCCAAATTCTTTGTGACAACACCCTTACTAAAACAGTCTCCCCAGATGTTCCACGGTGGTACAGGGAAGCCTCAAAAACTGAGCGATGATACGTTATAAGGGTAGGACATGGAAAACAAATAATATATATATATATGTATATATATATACATATGGGCCAGAGCAGACAAACACCATAGCAACACTAAACACATTCTAAAGATAATGCTAAACCAAGTAAAGACTGCTGAGCCCAACGCAGGAATACCAAACCATTACTAAACAAAATCTAACAAGTACTGGGCCAGCCATTCTAAGCCACTACTAAGCAGTTTTGGAGACTACTTGAGCAGGTCCAACTCTGACAGGGGTAACTGAATTGATGTCCCTTCAAAAGTTGCAATTTGCTGGTACTTTCCAGTAATTTGGAGCTTCCAAAAAGGGAGACGGCTCGGAAACCCTGTCTGACCCGTTCGTTTCTAGGGTGTCGTCGGGGGGGGGGTTGTTCTACCACGCCTCCAGTCCAGTCTGCGCCCTGGTGGTCTTGAGCCTGGTTATCCTGCAGGTTGGGAGTCTAAAGACTTGCTGGCGCGATAGGTAGGGAATGACCGAGTCCGGGTTTTGGGAATGAACCGTTTGGGGATTCCCTGAAAGACAACCAAAAGGATGGATGGTTGACAGGGGTCATTCCCTCATTCCCTGAGAACCAGCAAGAAGATCAAAGACTCTAGGGGTTGATCCATGTTCCATCGTCTTCGCCTTTCAAAACTTCAATTTTCCACGGGGGATGCCCTATTTGTTAAAGAGAATGATCCTCAAGAGAATGGGGAAAGCACGGCCAGAAACACTGAGCTTCCCTCCTGGTGGTTTGGATTGGTGGTTTTGGAGATTTGGGATCGTTTCCCATGTACCCTCCAGAACACAGGGGTTCAAATCCCCAAACCACCAACTAGGAGTTCGGATTAAAGACTTGGACACCTAGCAAAAACGAAACGTATTGCTGATTGCAAGAAGGATGATTAAACACGAGAAAGGCGGCCTGACAACGCAGAATCACTAGGAGCAACAAGAAAAGGGGGCTCGAAAGCTCTCTTGCTGAGTGGATTGGCCAAAACATATGTTTGCCACCAACATGGTCGGCCCATAAGTATGAAGTCCAGGAAACACGGGTGGGGGGGGGGGTGGGGGGGGGGGCTGGGGGGGTCAGGTGCTTTAAAACAAGAGCCTGAAAACAGGGTTGGTAATTACCCTTTCACTAGTTAGATTCCCGTGCCCCCTTTTGTTTACGATGCCCAACCCGTCCTTCACGTCCCAGGAGAGTTGGTCCAGCTGACTTTTGGACATTCCGACTATGCCATGGCCACGCTGCCCGGTTCAGTTCAGGCGCGTCGAGTGGGATGCAAGAAGTTAATTCAGGGCAAACTACCTCCGACCAAGGATTAAAACCTTGGCTGATTTTCCGTGGCCCCAGTTCCCGAGTAAAATGGCCACCTGGAAAAAGCTGTTTTGAAGATTGGTGTTTGTCAATCCCTGCTTGCCTTTTCGGCCTAGGGTACAAACCTTACAGAGACAGCCAAACAAACAAGATCTCGTTTGAGCTTGTTGTGCATGTTAAGGTTCGCTGAAGCAGCGACCTTGTCAGTGTACTTTTGAGCACTCGCATCCAAGTCAACACTCGCTTCCTAAGTGGGTTGGACAAACAAGCCGGAATTTGTTGTTTGTGGCTCCAATGGTGCTCTCGAAAACTGGAAAGTTGATGATCGGGCGTGAGGATAAATACAAATAGATAATTCTCAATATATATCTATATATATATATATATGTATATTACATATATATATATATATATGAGATTAAATCGGCACATAATGAATATATATATATATATATATATTAATATATATACCAATATGCATATCACAGGCAGAAACATCAGGTCGCCAGCGGAAGCTTTCTTCGCCTGGCCAAAGCCTTGGGCCAAAACGCCAATGCCGCGAGCCCAGCCTACTGGATCGGCCTCGCCTCCTGGCGTTTAGTGAGTTGAACTCCCATAACCTCCGATCCACAAAACTGAGCCAAAATCAAAATCTGGGTGGTGAGGGTAGCCTTTTTTGGAAACAGAGAGAAAAGACCCAGGCCACTTTTGGGGGGTCCAAACCACTAACTAGTGTTGACTCCATGTGAATTTCAACCAACCTGTTCACATAAAATGTGGGGCCAGACATGGACACCCCCCCCCCCCCAATAAAACAGGGGTTGATTGACATGGGGTCCACCAGGTTACCCCCCCCCGGCTTCCCCAAAAACAGGTTACCCCCAAAAACCTTACCACCGGTTTCCCCCTTCGCTTCCCCCGCGGTGTCCCTTTCCGGGCCGCCGGGCCGGATCCCAGCGCCGCAGCGCGGCGCAGCACTCCTTCGGCGGAAGGCCCTGCAGGGCTCGCAGCTCCTGGCGGTCGAGCGGCAGATGGCTTGGAATCAGCCCCCCGCGAGCCATGGGATTTGGCGGTCAAAAATGAGTCATTCGGGTCGCCCCATAGCCTACCGAGTAATTCCGAGCATGTTCAAATGCCGGTGGTGTCAAAAATAGGGGAACCCCAAAATGAAGGCCAATGGAACCGAGGACGAAAACCTGCGGTCTGGTGGTTTCATTTTGACCCACACCCATTTGGTGCTTTCCCAGATCCCCCAGTTCATTGAGCTGAAGCATGCAATTTGGTGGTTTCCCAGGTCACCATTTGAAGTTCATTCCCAAAACCCATCAGCTGATTTCTTCTGAAAACCAGCAAGGCGTGGTGAAATGCAGGCTTGGGCAAAGTGTGTTCAAACAGCCCCTCCGCTTCGAAGGAAAACCAAAAGGAAGGTGTTGGAAGCAATGGCGGCTCAAGCATGTTTAAACATTGGGTTGGCCCAACCCTGATAAACTGGTTCCGGACGCCGGGCTGCCCCGGAAACCTTTACGAAAGCTCACCCAAGCCTTATTGAGGCAGAGTACTCGCGGCCGCGTGTGTCTGGTAGGAACCTTTGGAAACCTTGAAAGTCGGGTTCCATGTTCCAAGATGCAAGTTGCATCCTGTGGTAATCACTAACTGGATCTAACTAACGTGTCAACCTACTTGCCAGGGAACCAACACGGAAACCGAATGTCAAGCCACCCGAAAGTGCGTGTGTTTGTTGTCAGCGTACTCTTTTGCCGGTTTAACCTACTTAGGTCAGAGTATGGTCAGAGTGCGGGGGCCGGATGCATGGTAAGATATCTAGCTAGCATTTACAGGGGGTTCGTTCGTAGCATAATTACATCTTTGCTTTCAGTGATCCGGATGCAATATACCCCTGAACATTGCCTTGTCAATGGTGGTTTCTCCTTATTTTGGTGGAAAATGCCACAGCAACATGTATACTTTAGGGAGCCCTGGCTTTGGACGCCCAAAAGGGCAAAACGTGCTGAACCAAGCCTACACATCGCGCGTTCCACGCAAAATCCCAGCGATGGAGGTCCAAGACTTTGCTCATGTCCGAGGGCCTAGAAGTCAAAAGGTCGGGCTCACTGATCGACCTGAAAACCGGAAGCTTTCATTGGAACTTAACCTAGAAACCAAGCTCAGATGCCCAGTGGCCAGGGGAAAAAAGGGGGCATCCTTTTCTGGTTGGTTGACTTTAAAGGGGAACCCTTCCCCAAAAACAAGTAAAAAAGGGCCCCACTGCGCAACTGGGCAAGGGTCAAACAAGGATCCACGTTCAGTTGGGCCACTGAAGGCTCACCTTCCAGACCTTGTTGCGAGTTGGCGCGTGAGATCTGCTGCACCCCAAATCGAAGTGAGTCCCAACCCACTCCTGCAAGGCGCCGCCTTCCATCCCATGGCTCTAAGACCATAAGCTCTACGGGCCCCTGGGGCACCCCCGCGCCCAAAAAAAAAACGGTCTGTGAGGTCTGCATCGCAGAGAGGCTCCGACATGGCCGCCTTCCTTTTCACGCCTACCGAGCTTCAAGGATTCAAGAACGATGCGCCCAATATGTCCAATGAACAAGTCACGTGTAAGACCTGCGAGAATACCTTGGCGGCAGGTCAAAGGGTAAATGAGTACAGCTCGTTACGTTACGCCCCCAACGAACATGAGCCACGGTCAAATGTGCTAGCAGCAACCCCCGTGGTTTTTGTACGGCATTTAAAGCTCGCACTTCCACGTCCCTCCCAAAGGCCATCGCCTTTCATGAGTATTTGACCAAACCTGAACTTGAGCCAAAGCTGTAGCCGATGGCCCGATGGCTTTCAAGTTTCCCTGACAAAAAGCTGCTCGTTTAAATCGTCATGAAGATCACTTGTGCCCCCCAATATCGTAATTCTAGCTTTGGCCCATGGTTAAAAGAGAGCTAGTAACTAGTTGATTTATAAGGGGTGTCCTCACTTTTGGGGAAGACACTCCACCCCCCAAAAAACACGATCCCAGGCGGATAAATCAAGGGCAACCCCAGGCCCTGGAGGAGTCGACATCTAGATATCTTCCCAACTCAGGCATGTCAAACAATTCATCTTGCTTTTGCACCCCCAACCCACAAAGAACAGAACCCAACACGTAAAAACGCGCTTAAGAACCGCTTAAGAACCGCTTAAGAACCTAAAAGCAGTGGCAAGTCTCGGCGCCTCTAGCTAAGAGAGTATACTCCATGTGGGCTTTGGAACAAACTGTTCGAACACCTGCGACATCAGCTGAGGGGTCTCAGTTGCCCAAAGAGCCTGGGATCAGCTCCGTCTTGAACAGTAAAAACCCAAAAAGGAAACCTGGGCACTTGTTCTTCCTTGTTTTTTGACGCAACTAAGATACCGAAGAGTGAACGCTGGGCATCCATCTGTTGGATATGAGACAAATCCACTTGACTGTTCATTTTGAAAACCAGGAGTCCGATCATTGGCCCAATGCAGCCCAAGCTGGCCCAAGCTTGTTCTTTGCCGATCAAATGGTCTTCTCAAATCCTACATGAAGCGAACTTCGGCCATGTGAAAGGCCGCATTGGATAGGGTTGGAGGCCAGTTTTTGTCAGACAATCCACTGAAGAAAAATGAAACAGACATGAAAAACACGTGGCTCCAACAAAGGACTCGACAAAACACGACAAAGCAAAACAAAACAACACCAACAGCAACCTGAGGCAGGTCCACACAGAAATCGGAATTTGTGTCAGACAGAAACGGGCGCCAAAAGCAAAAGATTTTGGATCGAGTTCCTCCAATGTTTGCCAATCAGTTCTTTGATCAGTTCCTCAAAAAAAAAAGATAAGTTCCTCAAGATTTTGATCAGTTTTCTGTTTTGCCAATCGTAAAACGGGAGCCCTCAAACAGAATCACGGCCCGACTCCCTTGGGTCAGGCCAATGCGAGCACACTTACGCCCATCCCAGACTACCGGAGTTGGCTCTATTGGAAGCAGGCGTGCCGTTTCGTGCAGAGAAGTCAGGAATGACTTGCTTCAAATGCCTTGCTTCAAAGTCTTTGGTTCATGTGTCCCTTGCTTGAATTGGTCAGCTTGCTTTATGCCGGCGATTTCTTCAAACAAACCGCGCGGCGAGGGGGGGTGGGCCCAAGATATGTAATGGGTTGCCTCCAACCCAACAAAACACTTTGTTGACATGCAAATGGATTCCCGCCGAACTGTGGATTTGTCCGCTTCCCGCCCTTGCTCATCTTTTGTCATACAAAAACAAAGTAGGCCCGCCCATGGCGACTTGTGTCACTTCAAAGACGGTTCCCTTGGTACCAGAGACAAGTATTGGACCTAAACCCTACTTACAACAAACATCGGCGAAGCCTTCCAAATAGCCAAGCCTCCCATCGAACGCAAGGGTTGTATCACCGAACTGGGCCTTAACTTGGCCATCTGCAGGACACCGAATAAACAGCGTGCGTGTTCTGACTTTGTTTCATATTGAGCCCACTCTGGGAAATACAAAGGAGACCCCGTTCCGGTTAAGGTAAACGAAGTCTCTCGAAGCGTCCCTCCTTACAGCTTTCCGCTGGCTTGATTTCACCAAAGTCGGCCCCTGCAGGCTCAAGGTCGTTTAGTGACGTGAAAACCAGTTCCCGGTCAAAATCGGGCACCCAGCTCCTTGGTTGCTGTTGACCCCTCTGCAAAAAGTTGTTCACTTGTGGGTTCAGTTCGGAAAACCCCAATGTCCAGTCAAAGAGACCCGTTGCTGACTAGCAATCAAGCTTCCATTTGCGAATCCCCTGGAACAACGAGAGCAAAGATGTCCAGTAGTGAAATCGCTTCCCTCAAAAACCAACAGGGAACATTCACCACATACTCATTCCAAAACTGCGGGGCCGGGGAGAAGGGTTGGTGCACATTT